GCCCGCCTAAATTTGGTTAAACGAGCAATGAACTCCCCCCACCCACCACCACCACCACCACGCCTTTTTCTTCGTTACCAATATCTGACAACAAGTAGGGCTGCATATTAGCCACAGATGATCCCATCGTTTAATATAAAAAAGATCATCGTTTATATAATAAAAGGTCTCTCATTATATACTAGTGTACGTGTGTATGTGTGTATTCATTGATGGGCTTTGACAATAATGATGCGATGGATGGCCCTTTCATCTCCGAGTTGGTTGAGACAAAGAGTGGCAAAGCCTGTTTCTCGTTAATTCCTTTTTCCCCTCTCTGAAACTCGTACCTTTCCTTGACTCTTTATTCTCGGGCATGTCAATCGACAACGAACGCACTCCTTTAATTCAACACCATGACCACCATCGGGCTTCCAACACATCGGGCTCCATTACACCCTCCTCGTCAATGACCGCTTGTGCAAACGGTGCAGCCAAAAACGTCCAAGAAGCACGGTCCACAAAACGAAAGCTATGGTTTGCCGTTTCTTTGGCCTGCATGTTCTTCGTCACCGAACTTGTAGCAGGTTACTTTGCAAACTCATTAGGTAAACATCATTCTCTCCCATACTTGTGTTAAAAAGCCCCTCTATTGATCCATCCAATACCTTGTTAGCTCTCATGTCGGATGCCTTTCACTTGTTATCTGATGTGGCAAGTTTCTTTGTGGCATTAATCGCTATTTATTTGGCCGAACGTCCGCCTACAAAACGTGAGTTGCGTGCCTACGTGTGTGTGTGTGTGATCTCATTTTTCCTTTTCTATGCTCATGTTGTCTCACGGCTGTTGTTGTTGATAATAGGCCATACATATGGTTTCCATCGTGCCGAAGTCATTGCCGCTGTAATCTCGGTCATTACTATTTGGGTGCTGACAGCATTTCTCGTCCATGAAGCTATTCAACGAGTGTTGTATCCACAAGAGATTAACGCACCTTTGGTAAGATACCGGAAAATGTTTCGAACTCTATGTTTTATATACTCAACCCTGTTTTTGTGCTGCCTACCTATATAGATGTGTGTCACAGCCGCCATTGGTGTAGGTGTGAACGTAATGTGAGTAAACATTTACCAGCTGCGAGAGAGAAAAAGTTGACTCATGGTTGACATATCTAGCTTGGCCATCGTTCTTGGAGGACATCATCATCATCACCACCATGACGAAGAAGATCATAATGGACATCATCATGTATGTGGTAAAAGAAGATGGGAAAAGGTCATATGATTATTAATATGGAGCGTAGGATGAAAACATCAACTTGCGTGCTGCTGCATTACATGTTCTGGGAGATCTATTGGCATCCGTCGGTAAGGGGCAGGCAATATTATATATCCAGGGGGAAAAGTGTAATGCTGACTGATGATTCCGCGGGATAGGTGTCTTGATTTCCTCAGTGGTGCTGTTGTTTAAACCCACCTTCACCATCGTTGATCCCATTTGCACGTTCGTGTTTGCACTTATTGTCCTTTATACCACGTTTCATTTGATTACCGATTCCGTGGGTGTGCTGATGGAAGGAGCCCCTGGTCACCTGAAGCCTGAAGCCATCATCAAATCTCTCACAGCTATTCCAGGCGTCATTGCTGTTCATGACTTGCATGTGTGGACATTGTCACCGGGTAAAACATCTTTGACGGCACATATTTTGGTAGAAAAGGATGCCCAAACCCAATACGATGATGTACTCTACAAGAGCCAACGAGTTGTATGTGATGAATTTGGTGTCCATCATTCCACGCTTCAAATTGAATCGGAAGAAGCTCGGTTCACGAGTCATTGCCGACCAGAAATCTGCAGCGCCAGGGTGTAAAACAGGGTCCGGATTTCTATAGCCGTCCTTTGGATGATAAGAAAACACATTTATATGCATACCCCCTTATATTATACTAGAGAGATTCGAGAATTGATCACTTAAAACATCCTTGCATTTTATTGTATTGACTCATTTCTCTTTCCTCCCCATCTCCTTTGTTACATTAGCATAAAAATACATTTTCTACCTCTTTGCTTACTTGAAAATGACACAGCTTCTTTTGTATAGCCGCTTTAAGACTTTTCCCGTGCACGGCCGTTGTCTTGTATAAGCAGAAAGCTAAAATTAGGGGGGGCGGATGAATGGAGGGGAGAGCGATAGAGCGGAATATCATGGTGACGAGAGGACTATAAAAGGCATAGCGAGCAGTGTAGTGTACCAATTGTGGGCGACAAACAAGGCGATCCTTGTGTCCTCCCGAGGAAGTGTTTGGGCGGCCTTTGCTGAATGGGACCAATGAGAGTACTTGTTCTTGAACGGGAAGTGTGGGCGGCTGTACAACTTGGCGGGATATTTTAGCATGTGAACGGGAGGCAGATGATGTTAAATACTCCATCATTTTTCCCCGGGCTTCCTTTTTGATTTCTTTTTTCTTTTCTGTTCCTTCACACATTACACGCGTCTCGCACATTCACGCACAACAAAACGCCTTTACTTGATTTTTTACACATTCACTCGCTTTAATACATAATATCAATGCCTAAACTCGTTGGTGCCATTGATCAGGGCACGACTTCAACACGCTTTGTCATCTTTGATCAAAGTGGTGCTATCGTTGCTCTTCATCAAATACAATCTACCCAACATTATCCACAACCAGGGTGCGTTTTATCACATATTATATAAATCTTTGTATACAGTGTTACTTACAGTAATACAAATAGATGGGTTGAACAAGACCCTTATGAAATGCTTGACCTTGCCAAAGCATGTATGGAACATGCAGTGCGTAAGCTCAATGGTACCGGTTACACATCGTCCGACATCCAAGCGATTGGCGTTACCAACCAACGCGAAACAACTTTGGCTTGGGATAAGCTCACAGGCTTGCCTCTTTACCCTGCCATTATTTGGAGTGACGCCCGTACAACTGAAACCGTTCAAAAACTTGCAGCCACTAGCGACAAGGGAATCGATGCGCTTCGATCCGTTTGTGGACTTCCTCTTACAAATTACTTTTCGGGAGTCAAAATGCGTTGGCTCCTTGATAACATTCCCATGGTTGCTGAAGCTCAAGAACAAGGTCGTCTACAATTTGGCACCTTGGATACTTGGTTGATCTACGTAAGTTTGGTTTTTTTTTCATCCCTGCATGATCTTGCATCCCCGCTCACATGTTTCATTTCTAGAATCTCACTGGTGGCGCAGAGCAAAATGGCGTTCTTGTTACCGATGTAACCAATGCAAGCCGAACCATGCTTATGGATATTCACACCTTGCAATGGAGCGAAGAAGCATTAAGGTAAAGATCTCTTATCTTTTATTCAAGGGTTTATTTGTTCATACTCAACTCACAATCAACCATAATAGCTTTTTCGGTCTTGAAATGCAAACCCTTCCCAAAATTGCATCATCATCTCAAGTATACGGCACACTGCATGAAGGCTCTTTAAAGGGCGTTCCCATTGCAGGTTGTCTTGGTGATCAACAAGCAGCTCTTGTAGGCCAAAAATGTTTTGGTGCTGGTGATGCCAAGAACACCTATGGCACTGGTTGCTTCATGCTTTTCAACACTGGTAATTCACCCGTGCTTTCTGATAATGGTCTTATTTCCACTGTTGCATATCAATTTGGCGATGATGCACCAAGCTATGCACTTGAAGGATCGGTTGCCGTGGCGGGGTCATCAATCAGCTGGCTTCGGGATAATTTAAAGTTGATTTCTTCCGTGGATCAGCTCAACGATCTTGCAGCCGAAGTACCTGATACGGCAGGCGTTTATTTTGTCACAGCATTCGGTGGTCTTTTTGCGCCTTATTGGAGAGATGATGCACGCGGCACTATTTGTGGCCTTACACAATTCACAACACTACACCATCTCGCTCGTGCCACGCTTGAAGCTGTATGCTATCAATCTCGTGCTATCCTTGATGCCATGAACAAAGAAGCCAACACACCCCTTCGTGCTCTCAAAGTGGATGGCGGTATTTCCAACTCTGATCTATGCATGCAAATCCAATCCGATATCCTGGGTATTACTGTTGAACGTCCTAGTATGCGAGAGTCAACAGCACTTGGTTCAGCCATGGCAGCTGGTCTTGCTGTAGGTGTTTGGGAATCCATCCATGATCTTGCACACGTCAACGTTCAAGGCAAAACCGATTTTACCCCTGCCATCAATACGGAGAAGCGAGAACACATGTACAATGGCTGGCAAGAAGCCGTCAAGCGATCCTTTGGTTGGACTACATCGAATCCACAGGCATGAGCCTTTCTTCATCACCCCGCCCTTTAAACATTCCCCACCCAACCACCCAACCACCCATCACCGTTTTTTGTCTTTTGATATCCCATACCATTCATATAGCCACTTTTTGAATCCGCAACTTTTCATTCCCACACACACCTTTCACCAGCATTCGCGTCACTACAGCATCTGTACCATAATTGTACATTAAATGATACCTCTTGTAAACATTGCATTGGAAATAAACACCACACACAAAGTTTTAATCTATTTCTTATCCTTGTCGTCATTGACATCTCGGAATTCGCCTTCAGTGGTGTTGCCTGTGCTACCGCCGCTGCTGCTACCAGCATCACCGGAGCCGCTATCACCTTGAGCAGCACGCTGAGTATTATCATCACACACATAATCAGTATTGCAAATGATACTCTTAAATTTTTGTTTTACAAACCTGCTTGTAGACCATTTCGAAAAGCTTCAAGCTGCTTTGTTGAAGCTCATCGATCTTAGCCTTGAGCTCTTCAGGGTTGACAGCAGCATCACCCGATTGAGCCTTGGCAGCTTCTTCACGCAAAGTTTGCAATTGATTTCTAAGCTTGTCGGCCTCGGCAGAATCCAACTGGTCCTTGAAATCATTCAATGCCTTTTCGGTATCACCCACAACAGAATCAGCACGATTGGCCATTTCAATTGTATCGCGACGTTGACGATCTTGTTCAGCATTCATCTCGGCTTGCTTGACCATGTTTTCAATTTCTTCTTCGGAAAGACCCGAGGAGGCAGCAATGGTCACTGGAGGGAAAAGGACACGTTAAATGATCATGCTGATGATAAGACAAGGATTATACATACTTGATTGATCTTTGCCGGTAGCCTTGTCCTTGGCGCCAACATTGACAATACCATCAGCGTCAATGTCAAATTGCACTTCGATTTGAGGTACACCACGAGGAGCAGGAGGAATGCCGGTCTATCAAAAACGTTGTTTTTTAGCATACATGTAAATTGTGTAACCCATGTCTTGCTTACCAATTGGAAGTTACCAAGCAACTTGTTGTCACGAACAAGTTCACGTTCACCTTGATACACCTTGATGTCCACAGCATTCTGGCCATCAGCAGCAGTGGAGAAGATTTGGGATTTCTTTGTTGGGATGGTGGTGTTTCGGTTGATCAAGCGAGTAAACACACCACCTAATGTTTCGATACCAAGCGACAATGGTGTGACATCCAATAGCAATAAATCAGTGACACTGCCAGCAAGGACACCACCTTGGATGGCTGCACCAATGGCTACGGCTTCATCGGGATTCACGCTCTTGGTAGGTTCACGACCAAAAATAGACTTTACGGTTTCTTGGACCTTGGGCATACGAGACATACCACCCACGAGAATAACTTCACCAATTTCGCTAGGTTGAGCACCAGCGTCACGCAACGCTTTCTTACAGGGGTCCACGGTACGATCCACAAGTGGCTTAACCAAGGCTTCAAACTTGGAGCGTGTCAACTTGTAGTTGATATGCTTGGGTCCTGAAGCATCTGCTGTGATGAAGGGCAAATTGATTTCGGTTTGCACGGTGGATGACAATTCAATCTTGGCCTTTTCAGCAGCTTCACGAATACGTTGCACAGCCATACGATCGGCACCAAGGTCAATGCCAGACTATGTACCAATGCGTACATGTGAGTCATGGGAGAAAAAGAATCATCAACGTGTATTGATATCCTACCTCCTTTTTGAATTCATCCACCATCCATCGCACCAACGTAATATCGAAATCTTCACCACCAAGATGGGTATCACCATTTGTACTCTTGACTTCAAATACACCTGATTGGATCTCAAGGATGGAGATATCAAAAGTGCCACCACCCAAGTCAAAGACGGCCACAGCCTTGTCGCCCACCTTGTCTCGGTCAAGGCCATAGGCAAGTGCTGCTGCAGTGGGTTCATTGATCACACGCAGTACGTTGAGACCGGCAATGGTACCAGCATCCTTGGTAGCTTGACGTTGAGAGTCATTAAAGTAAGCCGGCACAGTGACGACTAGAGCATGATTGTGTTAGTTTTGGGAACCCGAAATGGTAAACAAAGACACACACATACCTCCATTTTGGACTTTTTTGCCCAAGTAATTCTCAGCCGTCTCCTTCATTTTGCCCACTACGAATGCACCAATCTGGGATGGGCTGTATTTTTGACCGTGTGCTTCCACCCATGCATCACCATTGGAGTGTGCCACAATTTTATAGGGTACAGCCTTGATATCACGCTGCACTTCCTCATCCGTAAAACGTCGACCTATCAATCGTTTGGTGGCAAATAGTGTGTTTTCAGGATTGACGACAGCCTAATAATGCAATGACGTGTATTGTACGTCGAATCTATTAGAAAAAAGGTCCGAAACGCGCTAAAGAAAAAAAAAAATTCAAAGGACACACTCACTTGACGTTTTGCTGGTAGACCCACCAGTCGTTCACCATCCTTTGTAAAAGCAACCACAGAGGGTGTTGTACGGCCACCTTCTGAATTTTCAATCACGCGTGGTGTTTTGCCTTCCATGACTGACACGCAACTGTTTGTCGTGCCAAGATCGATACCAATCACTTGGCCTTGTACTTTTTGGCTAATAACGTAGCATGAGCAAATGCATGATTCTTTTGAATGGACGTATAGTACATACCTGGCAGCACGAAGTGGCATCCCCGTGCACTGTCAAAACCAGGGTTGTTGCCATGAGTGTTATGTACGTTCGATTATTATTACAACACGATTATCAATTTACCTTGTTCCATAGAGGCAATCCCTTGGAGGCAATTTTACGGTTGGCAAGTCGATACATGGTAAAGGAAGAAGCGTTGCTTTTGTGTGTGTGTGTGTGTGTGTGTGTGTGTGTGTGTGTGCGTAAAAGGGAGGAAGACGAAAGAAAAAAAAGTTTGGTGTTGGTATTTTTTTTTCCTCGGTCGCTTTTCCTGCTAAATTTCACATCCCGCTCGTCATGCGTTTTGTAAACCTTTCCACCAATCATTTGCAAGCTGCATATTGCATATTGTGTTACTCTTCGGGAAAAGAAAAGAAACCAAAGCACGAGCCACCACCATTCCATTCATTGATATTGTAATGTGTGTTGTAATAATCACTTTTTTGGGGGTTGTGGAAGATATCTAAAATGTGTTGATATGCAATTGAAAAAGAGGATGATTATGTGCGTGGGGAGGGAGGGGGGAAAGGTGGAAATGAAGGGCACGGGTATACTGTATGAAGTGAAGTGTGTGTCATCATCCTTCTTTAATGGGCCTGCATACTGGCTACATTTTTCATTGCTTCCCGTTCACTTTGATCCAACAGATATCCCTTGTCGCGATTCCATGATAGGGTGCCACCATTAGGACGATCATCTTCAACTTCACCTAGCACCAAAAGCTGATACTGCCGATTCTTTGCAATCGTCTTGGCATCAACGCGAAAAGGACGCAAGAGGTTGGCAGGTAATCCCGTTTTTGGTTTCCAACTTAGAATCCGTGACGTGAACGAATAGGGCTGTGCCTGATTGTCATTGCCATCCAAAGAGTTTGAGTCACCATCTGAATTGGCAGAGGATACTGTAGTGTCGTCTTCAGGTGCTGTAGATGATCGATACGAACGTAACATTCGCCTTCCAGGATCAAACATGATCAAGTTACGCTTCCCATCTTTGAGTATCTCGATGCCAATCACTGTTCGGCTATGACCAGAGTGCTGTAAATAGAGTGGTGGCCTATCGGTGATGTGCACGATGCCTTTCTTGTTGTATGTATTGGGATCCTTATCCAAGACGCCGCTTTGAAAGTATGATTGGATCCAGTCAAACATGCTGTCATGGGAATTGTTGGGTCCTGATGGTCGATGAAAGTCAAGAATGGTGCATCGAATACCAAGATACACCAGCATACAATACACCTCGGTAGTACCAATCCATTTCCTTGTCTTGTATACTCGATGATTCAATTGCTTGGCTCCTTGCTTGTCGAATCCTGTTATATGAATAAGCCATCACGAATTACCAATCCTTCATGAACGTTTTACCTTCACTCCATGCCCTTTCCAGTAACAGCTGGAGCCCCGATATATCAGCCACTTCTCGTACAAGGGAATCACCATGTTCTTGTTGGCGTTGCAAAAAGGTCATCAACATTTGGCAGTTGCGGTAACCACATCCCCATCCAAGGTCAACAAATCCAGTCGCAATATGATCGGTGTAAGGGCTGCATAAATAAGCTGCCATGGTATTGCCTTTTCTGTTGAGACTAGTGAACTGCGGCTCTAGTCGTGGGATAACACCTGATACAACAAGGGTAAGCCCAACCAATCAACTAGTAACCATGACACATCCTCTCATCCCTTTACCTGGTGTTCGACTATCTTCACTCAAAGCTGCAAGCGTAGCCCATAACTCTTGATCTTGGTTGATAATATCGCGAGCATAGCAATGATCCGAACCATTTTCCTTTTGAATACGCTTGGCCTGTTGTGTATGTAGATCAGATGCATAGTCGTTGTCGTCTTTTCGCTATAAACAAAGAAATGATAACACCGCCATATGCGGTGAATATTCCATAGTAACACACACACCATAAAGAGCTCCTTACCTTGAGAGGAGATAGAGAGCCCTCGTCAGACGTACGACCTTTGATAGTTGGACTGATGCTTTGACACTTGGATTGTGGTTGATGTATATTGTCCAATACTTCGTATGAGGATACTCGAGAAACAACTAATAAAGAGCCAGGGCGGAGAGAGATAAAGGTAAGGGTGAAAAACTGTCAAGATCAAGCCAATGTCAAGTCAAATAGAGACACCCACATTGTTCCTTGCAACCCATTACAGCACATGGATTGTCATTGGGCTTAGTGTAGTCATCGGTCATGGCGAGGCGCAGATCGGTAAAGAAAAGTAACGTTCAAGGACTTGGCGATGGCAAGATGACAATCGTCCGTTTTTCGAGCGCTGTGAACTGAGTTTGAACTTGTACACGAATGTGATTTTCCATGTCGACCAACCATAGCTCTTGGATACGTGGTCACATGTCTCGCTGGAATCAATGGCTGAAAGAATAAGGCGTTGCATGTTGTCTAGGGCAAAGGTATGTATGGTTTACTGCATCGGATAAAACTAGTTACGGTCCTCAAAATGCGTATCCAAGGAGTTACGTCCATCAATCTATCAGTATCCACTTCGCTTATATCATACAAAAACACATTTCACAGGGAAAAAAAGGTAGCTGCATGTTGCGCCGAAAGGCTTTCTCTGGTTGTCAGATAGATAGCCATGTTTAAATATATTTCCTAGTAGCATGCTTGTGTGTGTGTGTGTCTCTGACTGCGTGGATAGAAAAAAGAGAAGATACAAAACACGAATAAGGGTGATAATGGCGGATAGTTCAAAGTGCAAGATGATTACAGATGATGAAATATGGAGATAGTAATAAAGAGTGTTGGTGTGTGTGTGTGTATATGTATGCATGTAAGTGTGTGTGTCTCATTGAGGAAGTTGCGTATGCGAGTGTTTCTCTGTTCGGCTTTTTTTTGTTCCGTGAATCTACGCGTGATGCTTCCACCTGGGAAACAGCAATTCTCGATAGTAGACCATATAAGCAATGTACATAGATAAAGAAATGACAAAAAAAGAGATAGCAAGGGTGTAAGGGAGAATAATAAAAAGATCATGCTCCTCTGAAGCCGTCAAAGGGGGCACCATTGGCATTATCAGGGACGTATTGTTGTTGGTGATGATGATGTGGATGATGATGATGTGGTTGGTCAATGACCATGGGAAATGGTTGTTGCTGATGCGGGGTGGTAGTAGCGGTAGAGGGAGTGCTTGTGGTAGACGACGTACTGGTATCCATCATAACAGGTGCATTGAACGCGGCGGTGGCCTGTTGCATAGCAACCGGATTACTTGCAAAGGTGGTTACCATGTGAGATGGAGAAGGCGTAGTACTCATAGGAAAACCCAAATGCTGTTGATGTTGTTCTTGAGGAGTAGGTGGGATAGATTGTGGCTGTTGAGGTGGAGGATGATGTGATGCGGCGGCAGCAGCAGCAGCAGCAGCGGCGGCGGCTGTTGTGGGATCTATCATGTGGTGCTCTTGTTGTTGTGCCTGGGAGCCATGATGCTGCTGTATGATCGGTACGTTATGCAAAAAGTCCACGGGCACCTGTCCCGTCATATTGTTGTTGAAGCCAGCAGAAGTACCAAATGGAAGTGACGGCGCTGAAGTCTGGACCGTATTTTCATGTGTCTTTTCATGCTTTTTCAGTGAACGCGAATGATAATAAGCCTTTTGACATCCTTTCACAGGGCATATGAAGGGTCGAACATTTGAATGCGTCTTGACGTGGGTTGTCAATGAATCGGGTCTCGAAAACCGCTTGCCACAACCTAATGTTTTGTTACAAGTTAATCACATGTGGGTGTATATCAATCTCCATTTTTACTTACCAGGCTTACTGCACACAAAAGGTCTTTCGCCTGTATGGGTACGCAAATGGTTATACATCTTGTGCCGTTTGGTGAAAGGCTTTTGATTCCTTGCACATCCTTCCCACTCGCATCGATACGTTGGCTATAGCATATCCATTAGCAAACATAAACACACTATAAACAACAAAATGAAGCATACCTTTCCACTTCCAACATGGTTATCGCTGATGTGGCTAATCAACTTTTGCATATTCTCCAACATTTGGCCACAATCTTTCCATAAACATTGCATTGGCTTGGACTGGGCTTGGTCAGGTTGTTCACTGTCACCATCCTCATCCTCATCTTCTTCATCTTCGTCTCCGCCATCTTCATGTTTGCTATTGCTCTCGGATGATCGTTCAGCATTATTATCAGCAGCAGATCGGTGGGTATCAGGTGGAGTCGATGGTCCTTCTTCATCATCATCCACATTGGTGCTTGTTTCGGATTTGATCTCAACGGCTGCTTCAGATGACGTTCCTGGACCTTGTTCACTGCGACTTGTAGTAACACCACCACCAGCACGTTTCTCTTGTTCCAGTACCATCAATCGTGCAATCAACTGCTCACGCGACATGCCTTCAAATTCCCTTGGCGATACATCACAGCTAGTAGATCCTGATGCTTCATCTTCTCGGGATGCTGCAGATGCTTCGCTTGCTTGTTGCATCATCACCTGTTGTTGCCTGAGCATAGCAGCTGAATATGCCTATACATAACATGAATCATTAACATGTCCTATCTCTTTTCCCAATGGTCCATTTCCCTTACCTTTTCATTATTAATAATCTCCTGGCGCTGCTGCTGTTGTCGTCTCCGTTGAGCCTCATGGCTCTCGTCGATAAACACCATTTCATGATTATGTTGTTGCTGTGGTTGGTGTTGTGTTGCTTGGGAATGAGGTGGCATGGAAGACGGTTGATATCCTTGTTCTTGTCGCATACCAACATGGTTTGGATGCTGCAACATGATCACATTAGCAGGAATACCAGCGCCTTGGTGATGTTGTTGTTCTTGTCGCTGCTGCTGCTGTTGTTGTTGTGATTGAGCAATTTGTTGAGCCATTGCCTGTTGAGCAGCAGCAATAGCATGTTCTTGAGGACTTTGTAGTGGAGTAGACAAGATCATTTGTTCTTGTTGTTGTTGTTGAGATTGTTGCTGAGTCACGATCGAAGGATGTTGCAATGTAAGAGGTTGATCCTGTTGCACAGAGGGCACCTGATGACGTTGTTGCTGCTGACTGAACAAGATATCTTGAATCATATGCTGACCAAGTTCCTGCGATGGTCCGTGCGCCACATTACCATAGATATCCATATGCTGTTGGGGTTGTTGTTGTGGTGGTTGTTGTTGTTGCTGCGGCTGATGATGTTGCTGTTGCTCATGGTGTTGTTGCTGTTGTTGGGGTTGTACATTGATACCCATCATTTGCTACCAATCAATTCTATTATTACTTTTTCTCTTTAACTCGAAATCCTGTTATGTTTTACCTGTTCATGAGGGGATATGACTGCACCAGATGATGACGATCCTAGCCCATGTGCTACCATCATTTCTTGTCCAGCTTGTTGTTGTTGTTGCTGCTGCTGGTCTTGTTGCATAGCATCAGGTGAAATTGGTACACCTCCTCCTCCTCCTCCTCCTCCTCCTCCTCCTTGATTAAGATTTCCATGTGCTTGTTGATTGATAAGCGTAGGTCCTGCCATTCCAGGTGTAACATTGATAGGGTATTGCAAGTTGCTTGCTGCAGCTGCCATTGCCATAAGCTGTTGATCAAGAGATGCTTTCATCATATCGGCAGGATTATGTTGCTGTTGTTGATGATGATGATGATGATGATGATGTTGAGTCTGTGACGATGATTGCAACTGCTGATGGCTCATTGTAACATCCATTGGTTGATGCTGCTGCTGTTGCTGTTGCTGATGCTGCGGTTGAGGACCTGGGTGAGGCTGTTGTTGTTGTTGCTGGGTATGCAAAGCATCATTATTGATAACACCTGGATGTTGTTGTAATAAAGGTTGACCATCCTCAGGCGTTGTAACATGAGACGCACTGCTGAAATGAGACTGATACTGCTGATGTACAGGTACAATGGAGAAGTTGGGAGGAGGAACCCCTGAACCCGAAGCTGCATGGCCGAGCATGTCTCCAGAAAGATTCAGTGCATGCATTGGATGCTGTGAAGAGTCTCCCGGATCGGATGATGGAGGGTGTTCGGAAGTCTGTGTTTCCATTGTGTACGAATGCGGAAAGAAGGGAGCGGCTCGATGACGAGTATAGCTTTTCCGAGATTTCGAGACGCCACAGTTGTTGAGACTGAATCACAAGAAGAGCGAAACAAAGAAAGAAAGGAAAAGAGTAGCACTGGCGACCTTGTCGTTGTGAATTATTTTGACGTTGCGAGAATGTCAAAGGAGAGAATAAAGAGAATAAAGTATAAGGTATTGGACAAAAGTGCGTGTGTGGTGCGTATGTGTGTGTTTAAAGAAGAAAGAAAAGGAGTGTAATGTGTTCCACTGTATCCAAATGCCCATTGGCACAACTCGTCGGAGAGGTAATCAGAATGCGAATCATCCTTCTTCCTCACCCCACACAACGCTATCATTGTTGCCTACTCTCTCTACTGCTTGCTTAAATGTATATCTTACATGGCATCCTCATTAATCATTAAAGGAATCAATCACCAAATCGATTGGTATTAAGGCCTGATTTTATGAATAAAGCGCATTCTGAAAAAGTATGAAGGGGTGAAAATACAATCATAGCAATGGATAGTAAGCACTGCGGGGCGATCCAAAGCTGTGTATGCCAATGGTGGCCGTGCCCGAGAAAAATTTTGCCTTTTGGCCATTGCGCCCAATGGGCATGGTCGGCTCAGTTTCACCATCCCAGTTACCCACTTAACACCCAGCCACACCACATAGACAATCCCAACAATAGCATGAGAAGCACATATGATGTTGATGGCCCAAGCTTACAAGTCGGGATGGCGTGAGATGGGTGTCATCGCAAAATATTATTTATAGCCAGTGTTAACGTGGGATGATGTTATCGTTTTATTTTCTCACATGGCTTTGTCTGAGTTTTTCGCTTGCACAAGCGTTCCACGAAACCTTTCATCGTTCACATTCATTATTACTTGATCTTATGAAAGTTGATTGTTATCGTTATAGTAACGCAAAATTGGATCTAGCAACTTCATTAAACTTCTTTTTCAATAGCTATGGTCGAATGGTCGGCAACTTTCCCACAAGCAACTGAACAATACGGTCCTTGGGGGAATAGCCTTGTGTCTATAGTTGGTAAAATACCTAGTGCTCCTGCCTCTGTCTAGGTATGTATGCTGCTACATGCATATACTACTTATCTCTAAAACCATGATGATGGTTACCAAATGGTCGACTTGGATTGGAATAGGTTGCTACGACCACACTATCTTCTCACATGGCTGGTCGTGTCACTTGGGATGACCACGTGGTGATCGACGCATAGCATGGCCGCTATGGTCAACCGGGAGTTACCCAAGAGGTTCAAAGCCGGTTAAGGTGGCATGAGCAATCAGACTATTGGGCTCGATGGCTGCATTGCAATTGAAAAAAAGGGGCAGCTTTCTTTGTTCATGCAGTCAATCCACTCTCCGCATTTGGAAGTATTGAATAAAACGTACCTTGCTGCCATTGCGTGATTCCTTTATGCAGAGCAGGTGTCATAAGATTCAAACAAATCCAAACAAAGCTCATCAAATGGATCCCAAACGCCCCGCTGTAGGTCGGATTGCGTTTAATACGTACGCTTGTTGTCTTTATGAAAGTGGATGAACGCCATCTTAATGTGGTAAATGTGCATCAACAATGTAGCTCTGAACAATTTGATTATGCATGGTTGGAGCTACTTTCGGTGGTGACTCGGTTGAAAAGCTTATTTATTATCAATGCATATCACACCTAATGCAACATCAAGGTCGCCACACGGGATGTCCCGCCTCTTGTTGGATAACCCACTATGACTTTAGTTAGCTAAATGCGTTTATGTATAGAATCATAGAACAAAGAACCTGACATTGCTATGACCACAATATACGCATATGTAAAGTTAGGCTTTTAATCTTTCTAAGTGGCATGTTTACTTTTCTTTTGTCTTGTATGAATGCTTCTATGTAAGGGATGCAATTGGCTATCGGAGGAACATAACCTAATAATCGGTATTTTGGATCACTAAACTATCTGGGAGATGTCACGACTCTTGATGTCGAAAAATGTCGCGCACCTAGAAACTCTCTCTGAGAAGACCTTGACATCGTTCTAATAAGGTAAATGGTCTACTATGATTTTCTTGAGGTTGTCGTGGTCGCTATAGCAGATGTTAGAATACCTCGTCCAAGTGAGACCTTCGTAAATTCCTTTTACCTTATAAAGTTGTGTAGATCTTGAACGTCTGTGGATAATCCTGCGTAGTCAATCACAACCAGACTTGGTATTTACACCAACGTCGTTGGTTAGACCTGCGTAGTCAATCACCACCAGACTTGGTATTTGCACCAACGTCGTTGGTTAGCCCCGCATAGTCGATCACTACCAGGCTTGGTATTTGCACCAAGTCAATTCCAGTACCAGACGTAGACCATGGTACGAAAATCAACTTTTGTAGATGCATCACGGGAGATAGCTATATCGAGAGTAACAAGGTAGCTTGTATGAGTAGTGACTCATCAAGCAACATGATCAGGCTTTACCTCATTACAAGAATACAATATCGCAATACAACGACAATGAGAGTAGGATAAAAATGAAGCACTATGGAAGACCACAATGATCACCGCTTGTTTTGTTCACAAAGTTTGCAAGAAGTGGGATTTGACCTTGTAAGCAATCAAAAAAGAAGTAGGGCAGAGGAAAGAGACGTGTGGGAGTATGATGGGCGGCGACAACATCCTTTTATTGTGCATTATGGGCGTGGGTATTTGTGTATGTTGGGGATGATGCATGAGCTGATAAAGTGATGGTGGCGCATATACCAGGATTAAGTCTGAGGAGCCTAGGTGTAATGTTGTCTATGCATACATCTGCCAATGATGGCCCATTTTTTATTTTCAGAGATTGAAAGGTTATACTAATACAACTATGGAAACGAGATTGCAAAGTATCCACGTATCACTATTCCATGTGCTCTTACCATATCCATTCTGTCATCATCCAACGTGTATAGATATCCATATACATACAAACCGAACCTGATTCTCCTTGAACATGCACATTGGAAAGGGCCGCCATCACCATATCCTAGATCCAAAAGGATCAACAACCTGTATCCATCCATACTTGATCCCCGATACCTATATACCAGAACAGTCCCTGGAAGGCAATGGCATCATAACAATACCGTGACAGAATACAGAAGGCCAATGGCGCCTGGATCATGGCAAACGAATTTGTGGAAGGTCATCGTGTAGCTTTGCAGTCCTTGTTGTTGATACAGGTTCCAAGACATATACTTCCTCAAGCAGGAGCAGCAGTGTACATGGTGTGTGATACTTGCTGATGATGGCAATGATGATAAATAAACCCTCTTTGAACCATGCCAACCCTATAACCCATCCTATTTCACATACCAATGTTAGTAACCATGGCAAAGTGCATCGAGGCAAATTTGAAAGAAGTCTTGTATATGGTGGAGTTGGGTACCTGTGGGCTAGCTATGCTGCTCACCATTAGCGCCAAGCTCTTGAGCAAGATTAACTGGTAGCCCGCCATTGTCAAACGAGCAAGTTGTCGAGGGCGGCGTAAAAGAAGAAGTTGAAGCGAGTACAAGCAAGCAATGAGCCACCCGAAGTCGTTGTTGTCTAGATGGCGCGTAACCAAGGAGACCAATGCTGGCTGAACACCAATTCTGTTGGCAGATGGCAAACGAGGGATGTGGACAAGGAGTAAATGTTGTGAAGCTTTAGAGACAGCCGTCAAGTATAGAAAGAAGTCGTTGTTGGAGCAAACAGGAAGAAAGGCAGCACCTGGTTGATTCGGAGGATGTAGCCAATAAATTGCATGAAGCGTACATGTAGCTCAAGCGATCGAGTGAGCACAAAAGCAACCTGGTGGTTACACATTTGTGTCATGGTAGTAGTCTCCTTGTACCATAAAAATCTCACATACAGTATTTGTTTATTGAAAGTCGAGATAAATCGTTGCTAACGTAGCATGTACAAACGAGAATGAGGTATGATAGTGGGTATGCTATCTAAGCATGTGTTCAAAAATTCCAAGGTGCACATCACGTGGATCCAGTAAATACTTGATAAATGGTGTGCACGGTGGTCCCCAACATGATGAGCTCACCAAGGGCTGCAGTTCTAACGCCAAGACCACGTTTGCTCGGTTCACCTGTAGAATATCCACGTGCATATACCTCGCGAGTTACCAGGTAGTAGAAGCCTGCTCCCGCATTGATTAATGGATGAGTGATACCTCCCAAAAGGAGCAATACAGCAAAGCTAGGATACATCTCAAGCGTATTCTACGTAGCATTAAAGTTAGTTTACAGCTTTGACTTTTTGACATTGTTTATATACCTGATGCACACGCTGGATACAATTGAATACGTGTTTGTCAAACTCATTCTCTGCTTCATTCTTTTCGGCATACACTGGTTGATTTCGTCAGCTTCTTGCATAAGGATTACATAATGACGCTGCTTTGAAGTAGCTTTATTACCATAAGGATAGGGCACACCCGCCACTTTGCGTGCTTTGCCAACCCGCAAGCTCATTGCCAGGAGCTGAAAGAGGGAGAACACCAAAACGCTGAGGACCTTGAGTATCAGTGTAAATGGGATAATAAGTAAACATTGCCATTGAAGGAGTAGCATCATGGGTATACATACAAAGCCATGCTCTTGAGATAACGTGAAAATAACCATTTTGTTGTTTGCTGATGTCCTTGAATGAGATGTAGATAATAAAGAGGTATGAGAAGAAACAAGGTCTTTTATACTCGAAAGCAAACAACCAGGTATTGGATCAAGTTGGAAAACCCACGCCACGAATCCAAAAAATGCCTCTTATGGCAAGGACACGCATCATCCACATCATCCGGCATTACCATTGTAGGGTCAATGCACATCAATGTTTGAGCAAATCATTCACTTTGCACCATCGTAACCTATCCCTGGTGAAGCCAAGATGCCGTCTCTTTTACACTTTGCAGGCACCACAAAGGTAGTATTATAGATCAAGGATACCACGTCTCTCCAATTTCACATTTTTTATACAACATTCTCCATGTTTGATATGATGTGAACTTGATTACGCACCACATTAGCTTCTCTGCACTCTTCTGGATCATTAATGTTAGCGCAGGAGCCTGCACGTGAATAAGGAGTATACCTAGTTGCTATAGGCGTCTCTTTACATGTATGTAGCTTCCATTACAAATCGCACCATAAAGATGTCGCATATTGGAAAAGCGATGAATGGAGGCTGATTCCAAGAGTGCTGCTCTAGTCGGCTCCATATGAATGTCCTTATACAAGTAACCATGTTACGTTTACATTCTTCTCATGTAGTAGTCTCTTTTTGTGTGCAACGCAAAGAAGATCCAAGGTCCGTCAGGGATGCAGGAATGCAAATGTACAAATAGCCATCTTGTGCTGAAGCTATTGCTCCTATAAAAAAAGGTGCATTATTGTGAAGCGGTTATATAACAGAAGCACTTGAATGATAATAAGAATGCCATTGGAGTCCTCATCAAGGCGTTGTATGTACCGGACACATGGACCATGATTCGGGAAAAGCTGACAGGAGCGATCATGGCAAGTAGAAATGTAATAAGCTGATTTAGAAAATCTGTGTATTCTTTGATCCCTCCTATTACAGTGACATGACCTTCCTCCTATTTCTCTCCTGCACCTTCTTTCTTGTTGTTGCGCTCTTTTTCCTTTCTTTTGTATACTTTTTCTTGCTTTCGACATAATAATGCGTGCTACTGAAAGGACTCTCGCTATTGTAATTGCTGTCGCCGGCCTTCTTGTTGCGACAAATCAAATCGTATACGCTCAAAATGCAAACTGCCCTGCTCAAACAGTGTAAGTGCAACAAGTGTTAAGCAAAAGTATAACCCAGTCATACTAAGACGTCTCTATTTTCGCCCATTTAGCTTTAATCAATGTAAACAAAACGAGGACAATTATCTTCGCACATGTAAGCAAGATGGTAAGGGAAAATCATATAACGTAGGTGCACATGATACTAACGGCGCATCTCATTACTACACAGAGTATGCTTGCTTGTGCAAGGTAAGCATCATTTGACGAAATTGCATGCTTGGAATACAATGAAGTGCTGAAATCATCCTCTTTCGTTTTAGTGGCAGAAAGCCAAGGTGTCATGCTGGGATACTTGCCCTGAAGACAGCGAGAAAGAAACACAAAAGACGCTCATGATGACTTATTGCTCACAACCCGGTGCCAACGTGTGAGTAGTAATAGCAAAAAGTGCAAGAGGAAAATGCTAATACTTATGGCTATGATGATGAATAGAACTACGTTGGCGAGCAGCGTGTCATCCATGTCATCCAAAACGCTTTCGCCCATTCCAAGCAGCAGTAGCGGCAGCAACAGTGCCTCGGTAACACCAACACCCGATACCAACACAAGTGCAGCATGGTCGATGAAGATGCTTCGCCATGATCAATCGATCGGGTTGCTTGTCCTTGTATTAATCATGACATCCATGGTCATGTAAGGAGCATCCTTTTTGTTTTCATTCCCTTCCTCCTTTTCTCGGCATTCTCCTTTGTTCCTAGTCCACCACAACAACCACCCACCATCATACAAACAAACCGCTCTTTAAAAAGTTGCATTGTTGCCATTGTGACACATTGCGTTTCTACATTTTCATCAATGCTCTATTGTACGTATGCTATCATCCAAGAGAGACATAAATAAACGCAAAAGCGCACAAGTTTTTCTTCTTCCCATATGATAGCTTTTTATTTGTGGAAACAATATCTATGATAAGCCCATCAGCAGCTGATGATGTATGACACCATCATCATCAACAAGCATCAGTGCAAGTGTTTGGTACAGGCTTGAGTGACGTGTGATGATACCCGGAATAGGTTTACTCAACCATTGGAGCAGCATGGACAATAAAATAACACCGCCGATCCCATGTTTGGTGATTGGTGAATAATATAGTACGGCAGCAGATGACCATGATAAAGTAGGTTCTTGTTGTCGTCATAGCTCCATGTTAAAATAGCAACGTACGTACTTTGGTTGCATGATTCGGGGAATCCTTAGCTGTCCATGGAACCAAAGTGTCATGCACAAGAATACAAGAATAGATCGATTCTTTTGTGGTTCGTATTGGTTGTTATCATTTCTTTGTTGTAGCCAAAAATATGCCACCAGCACAAAGGTTGCTGCTTTTCTTTTTCATCTTCCCAACGTTGCACATGGCTTGCAGATCTTGTGATGATAATTAGGCTGTTGTCATTCACAAAGAGGGAAGCAGCATACTACCACGTATATCTATTATAGTTCATGGGCGTTGTGGAAAGTTTGTTCATGGTGCTGCAGCTGCTGCTATTGCTGACGGCTTAGTCTAGACCGGAGTTTAGCAATTGTTCTGTGCGGCTTTGGCAATTGTTGCTAAGCCGAATGCTAGCTGATCCGATAGGCGGGAATCGAACGTTATGGACATTTTGTCCCAACGCTTGGCAACATTGCGGGTCGATCGTAAGACAGGGAAAAGAGAAAAAGTAAAGTGACCAAAGGAATAGTGGTACCAGCCTTTTTTATTTTTAGGCATGTCACGCTGCAAAGGAATGGGAGCTTGTCAAAATGCGAGGTACGCGTTTTGTGTGTGTACTGAACACATGACATGGCAGAGCCAATTCTAGACACATGTACACATTATTCGATGCAGCTGGCGACACCAAGTGCCACGATCGTGTCGACCTAGCACTTTAAAGAAAGAAGAGCATCATCTACATGCTACATGTGAATGGATGCAAAGGTTCGAGATGAATGGTTTTGCCGCCATGTTACGATTGTACAATGGGCTTATCGCTTTGAATGTGCAACGGCAAAAGTTCCCTTTTGTAATCGTATCTGGGCGGATGATGATGATGATGGTTGTTGCAAATGCGTTTTTGGGGTGGGACAAAGGAAGGAATTATTTATTCTTCTCTCTGTCGTCCCTTGCGTATGTATATATAAATGAGCCATCCCTCTCATTTTTTCCCGTTCCTTTGTCTTTTTCACCCCTAAAATGATGCACAAAGGTGTCTTTATTCTTTTGGCTTCTTGTTTGATCACCCTTCCAGGTCAAGCTCAAGCCTTACAACGTATCCCACTTCATCGTCGTAACAACGATGGTGGCGGCTTGAAGACCGAACCAATGACCTTTGATGATGGTTCAGTAAGTCTCGCCCTTTTGCCTTTTTTTATGCCATCATGTTGTGCTGACCATGTGCGTGTTAGCTTGTCGGTACTGTAAAGATTGGTTCACCTGCCCAAGAATTTTCAGTGTTGTTCGATACGGGCTCCAGCTTGTCCTGGGTCCCATCCACCAAGGTAAATAAGCCATTTCTTGGCTCCTCATCCCACGCACAAAGCGGAAGCAACATCCGCTCTCTGCCGTACAGCGTACTAAATTTAACCGGGAATCGGTGAACAAAATTTCTAGTGTCACAGTACCGAATGCAGATCCCTTGGTCACACGCCGTATGATGCCGAGGATTCCTCCACAGCCTTTGACTTGAACCAAAAAGAATCCATTCGCTACAGCGATGACTCTTGTATTGATGTTGAATTGTACACTGTAAGCTTAGCATTCCTATGATCCGTTGGGTATGCTAAAATGTACATTTGCTTGCTTAGGAAACCATTTCGGTTGCTGGATTGACAGTCGAGAACCAGCTCTTTGGTGCTGCATACAGTGTTAAGAATATTGGCGATGATAAATATAGTATGTGGCTACTCACATAAACAAAGGGAACGCCTTTGACGTATACTAACCATCAACAAAACCTGTAGTTGGCTATCTTGGTCTTGGAGGATTCGCTGAGGATGGATCCACCAACTTCAACGGCTCTACCAGCAAAGGTATGTCACACACGAATAATGGCATGGAGCATTGCTTTACTAATACCGATGATTTTCTTTTCTTCTATTCATTTAACTCACATATGCAGATATTCAAAAGCGTGCCTGTAAGTACAAGCTCCATCATAGGTACATGCATCAAATTACTAAAACCTGTCAACGGATACTTTAGTTGTCAACTCAAATGGCTTTGCCCAAAACGCCTTCCAAACCGGCTACGGTGGCAACTCACAGCAATTTGGCATGGTGACTTATAACAACAATGGCTTTTACGGCAAAAAGCGTTGGAACAAGCCTGACGGCGAATTTATCTTTGGTGGTGTTGACCATGACTTGTATGATGGCAAGATCGCCTACATGCCCTTGCCCACGTGTGATTATGGCGATTCGCCCTATTGGAAGACTCGTATGAACTGCGTTAAGCTTGGCCATTTGGCAGACATCAAGTTGGCACACAAGTCGTTGGCATCCTTTGGCAGCAATAACAACTACATCTCGGGACCTTCCTCTCAAGTCGAGTTGTTGCACAAGGCCATGGGCGCAAAACAAAGCGGTGGATCGTATCAGATCAAGTGTTGTGAGGCTGACAAGTTGCCTGATTTGACCTTTACTTTTGACAACTATCAAGTATCATTGCCAGCATCAGCATGGACCAGCCCTATTGATGGTGCTGATCGCGATGATGAAGAAGCCATGTGCAAGACATCCATCCGTGGCAATAACAATGAAAAGGAATGGGTCCTTGGTGGTGCATTCCTCAACAACTTTTACCATATCTACGACCAGGGTAACAAGCGAGTTGGTCTTGCTACTCCCAAGGATAGCAATTCCAAGGCCAAGATCACCAAGACTGGCAGTCGCAAGAACAGAGATTAATCATCATCATCCCATACCCCCCCAAAGAGACCATTTACAACACAAAAAATACTCTCACATTCGCACATAGCTTTTATATTCCAACCATTCCTTTCGATGCTGTAGATTAAACCCAAACTTCAACCAGTACATACATCATCCATTCCCTTCATTTCAAAACCTCCAAATAAATCATCCTGTAAAATTGACTTGACGCATAAAAGATAGAGCATTTGAACAATGTTATTAATGATGCAATAAAAAAACAAGAGGGTATTTATTAGGAGGATGAAAAGGAGGACGTCGAGGAGGAGGAGGAGGAGGAGGTGTCAAGAGGCGTATAGTATAGATAGAGGGGAAGGGGATACAAATGGATGTGTCTTATTTAGACTCTCAACTTCTTTTTCATGCCTCGCCAAAATGCTGCTCCTTCTTTTGATCGAAGACTGCTTGCAAGACTATGGCGTTTGAGATCTTCTTCGTCCATGTCGCTCCATCGACTCATACGCTTTTGGAACTCATCGAGATCAGCTGGTTGCCACACACGCAAGTCGTCAATTTCCTTTGACACAGAGAGACGCGATTGAAGTTGTTCTGCAAATTCACGATAAGCTGCTTCCGTTTCTGGATCTTCAAAGCAAGAGGATGCACCACCTGCTGATGAAGAAATGGAGGGACGTTTGCTACTATTGCTCAAGACCTCTTCTGGTGACGATTGTGGTTGTTGTTGTTGTTGTGCTGGTGGTGGCGACAAAGGAACAGGTGGTAAAGGATCTGTTGGTGGTGGAGCTTGTGGTGGAAGAGGACCTCCTGTCCATCTTGGCGTTGCTGTGGAACGACGTTGTTGCTGTGGAGGAGGTTGTTGTTGTTTGCTATCCCGGTTGCTATTGCGTGCAGGTCTTTCAGGTACGACATCTCGATGTGTCAAATACACCTTGTGCAAAAGCATGTCCTTATCCATCACTTGTCGTTTAAGCGTATCCAACTTTTCGGTGATTTGTACTCGTTGTTCATTGCATTCGGCTGTCAATGTTTGGCTTGTTTCCCACGTTTGTTCCAGTAATCGTTGCTCGGCATCCAACTCACGACGAAGCACTGAAATATCATTCTCAATGGCTGTACGTGTGTCTCTCAACTCTTGAATTTCACTCTTGAGCTGATGTAATGTATGCTTAGCTTGTTCTTGTTCTTCCTCAGTGGTTGCCGTGTGTGGTTCTGCAGCAGCAGCAGCAGCAGCAGTGACTTGATGCATATGAAGCTCCATTTGTTCCATTATTAGCTCCTGTTTAACAACAACCTCGGCCAATTGGCGTGCACGATCAGCTTCCATTTCCTTCTCTTCAATATATGCCGCTATCGTTTGCTGGATACGTTGTTCCCATTGTGTATGATTTTGTTCACTTTGATTGAGCTTCTTGAGCGTGGCCATATATAACGACTCCAATTCACGAATACGCTGTTGCTGACCGACCTCCGAGATAATTGAATCGCGGCCCAAAGACAATCTACTACTGCTCCGCTTGGCTACACGTGCATCATCGGGGGGTGTCGTTGCTGGTGGCGTATTATCATCCATGTGGGCTGCAGCAGCATCATCCACCGAACATATATCAGATGCAGGTGGCATCACGCTTACTACCCAATTGTCCACACGTTGTTCCTGAGATCGTTGCAAATACGCCTGTTCAAACATGCTCAATAACTCCTTTTCCAGCTCATCCAATTCAATCGTCTTTTTAAGGCGCTGGCTCGACATGGTGGTTGTTGTTGCCTTGGACTTTGTTGTGGAATGCCGACTATGAGAACTACTGATGCTGCTACTTCTTTGACTTCGGGCACCATATGGACGCATATCCGAGGAAAGTCCACACACCGTGGCAGGTCGATGAGGAACATAATGACTATGGTGATAATGATTATTGTATCCAGCACCACCACTCGAGGCACCAGTTGTAGTTGTTGATATAGATGGGATGGGAGACATTGATTGTGGTTCTTGTGAAAATTGCTTATTGAGACCAGAAACAACGGCCAAGCTTTTTATACGTTGCAACTCGCGATCAACTTTGCGTGGGGGTTTTTGAGTGCTGGTGGTAGAGGAGGTGGATGAAGTGCTCTTCCATTTTGAAGATGGTTTGTTTGGAGGAGGGTCTATTGGTTGTGAAGAAGTGTCTATAGTGGACATTGTGTTTGGGGAAGAAAGAGAAAAGAAAACGTGTGGTGAGCCACCAACAAAAATGGCACAATAATGTTTTCAGTCGGAGCGGTGTGTAGATCATGTACCATGGGCGCGCAAAGAGCAGTGCGTTTCCTTTTTGCGATATTGGCCACAAATTGGTTGCACGCCCAGTGGCCGTTTGGGAGGCAATGTGACACGAGGGATTAGTTGCTGCATGCGCTGATAATATAAACAAAGGAGTCGAGGCAAATCATCTTGTCTCGCCCAAATAATGGTGGTTGGGTGTGTCCATTTGGTATATTGTCTCAGGTTACACACACACATACCATATTCTCTATCTTTATTGTCTATATATACGCTCACACACACATACCTATACCCTTTATTCCACACACACACCTATACGCACGCATGTATATATATATACATACATACGTATGACAGCAAAAGGGGGTGCGACAACGCTAGGGAGAGAGCAAGTCAAAGCAACACAATGTCTCCTTGTGGCACATTTTATTGCATGAAACAAAAAAAAGAGAGATTGCTTAAACACGGCTGGCAGCACGGAAGTAGTTGTTAAGATCACCCTTTTGAGGAACGAACTTGACGTAGCAACCATCGGGTTGGAGCTTACCCTCGCTGCGGGCTTGGATGTATTCCTCACGCTTAAGAGGAGTGAAACCCCACTTGTTGGAGATGATGATCTTTTGTTGACCAGGGAACTTGTACTTGCAGCGACGAAGAGCTTCAATGACAGTAGCCTTGTTGGAGTCCTTGGTACGGATAGAGAAGATGACCTGGCCAATGTTGACACGGGCAACGAGACCTTGGGGCTTACCGAAAGCACCACGCATACCTTGTTGCAATCTATCGGCACCAGCACACGACAACATCTTGTTGATACGGACAACGTGGAAAGGATGTACGCGAACACGCATGTGGAAAGAATCCTTGCCAGAGTTCTTGACAATGTACTTGTTGGCACAGATACGACCAGCTTCCAAAGCTTCAGAAGAAAGTTGTTCGTATTCGTTGGAGATCAAGTGAACGCAGAGAGGGAAATCATCAACGTGAGCCTTCTTGCGACCCAAGTCATAGATTCTAATCTTGGCATCAGGGACACCACGGCAGTATCTGCTCTTGGGATAAGGCTTGTTCTTGCAGTAACGGTAGCAACGAGCTGGACGACGACCCATTTTTGCTATACAATTGTCAATGGTGAGTCCAAGCTGATCTTGCACATGAGTGATCCACCACCACCACTACCACCACCAACCCATCCATCGACATGAGAAAGTATCACACTAGCTTTTGGGGAATCAACTCGTTGCACTTGTTGGGATAGAGAAGGGGGGCTCATTGGAAGTACATGTCGTATAACCCAAGGCTGTTGTAATAAATTTCCCGGTCGACGGTTGTGATGGCATCCAATCCTTTTATCCATCCATCCATTGACATCCTTCTTGTGTTGATCCATCCTTCATGTGATATGATGCATCCGTTCACACGCTCTCTTTCCCTCCTCCCATAATCGAAATAAACACTTACGCAAGTACGATAAAGAAAGAAACGTTGGCTTGTCTGTGCGAATGGCTCTTGACACATTGGTCGCCCGCGGGTTTGATTCCAATTAAATTCCCGCTTTCGAAACAATGAGGTTTTACCTAATTCACGGGTGGGGGTGGGGTGATTACCAATACAAATGAGCCTTACATTGGCTCTCTTTATTATTCATTCATTGTGTAATAATGATAAGCACTTTAGCTATGCATTATGAACACTCCCTACACATTTGTTTTTTTGACACATGCCTCTTTTGGGGATCCTACAAGTACAACGTTGTACGCCTTTGATGTTGTTTTATTGATCACATGGTATTTGTATTTTAGTACGACATCATCTAAAGCTGTGATGCAAGGAAGATTATATACAGCGAGTATCTACAAATTGCGAAAAGCGGACCAGCCCTTGGATTGATCCAGTAATAGGTGTTCAGTGGGACTATATTGATATGCGTTTCCTCCGCCTCTCGTTGTGTCAAATCTCGAAGCGTGCTGATAAACATGTTGGTACCCATGTCGATAAACATCTTGATACTGATTATCCTTTGCTTTCAATGTGATACGTCGTGATAAAGGAGTATCATGCACCTTGCTGAATGGTTTAATATTGTGGGGCTTTTCTCGAATCTCCTCAACATCTTGATCATTCTCTTGATTGGCCGTTCGAAAATGAGGAGAAGGAGAAGGTGGTGATGGTCGCCTTGGTGAATTATTTTCATCATTGGATGCTTGAAATGAGTTGCTGTTGGTTGCGGTGGATGCTCTTGTCACAGATTGTCTTTTGGGTGATAGCATGCTGGGTTCTTCATGGCGAAAGGGTATAGGTGATAGTGAACATTCTCTGGATAGTTGATGTCGCATATCACTTGCTGCCTGTCGATCAGAAGTCGACCACGAAAACGAATGATCCGCTGGTAGTTGAACATGTGGCATTGTCGTGACACTTTCCTTTTCACTACCACCATCAGTAACCTTGAATAACCCATCGTCGTCATCATCACCAAAAGGCGTACGGACATGAAATTCCTCAATCACCTCGGCTACAATCTCATCGCATGAATCGTCTCGATGATTGTTCCTCAACGGTGAAATGTTGGGTGACTCTGGTGATAAAGACATGGAATGAAACTCTCGGGCAGTGTAGTAGATTGTTGTTCCTGAAGGGTTTTGACCATTCGAGTGTTGCTCTAGCGACGCTGATTGTTGACGTGGATGTGACGCTTTGAAACGCTTGTTGCTTCTACCAGAGTTATCATCCAAAGAACGTCGCTTTGAAGAATCATTATTCTCCTGTTGAACATGTCTCGTAGACTGGTCGGTGGCTCGTATAGTATGATCACTATCGCCATCAGAGGAATCCTTGTTTGATCCAACGTTCGTGAGCTGATTAGGTGATGCTGTTGATGATCGATTAGGTTGAGCTGATATAGTACGTTGCATCGTTCTCGCGCGTGATCTGATTTGGTGAACCATATCCAAAGTTGAGTAGTGATGAGCTATACGAAAGATTCAATGATGAGTGGCATTTTTTTGGTGCAATGGATGGATTGAATCACTCACGCAGGAATATGGATTGCATATTCTTCTTAGGAGTAGCTTTATGCATCTCGACTGATTTCAATAGCTGAAGGGTATGTGGATCAACCGTGAGCGTACGACTCGGATGTTGATGATGCCGTATGTTGGGTGTGCTTGTTCGCCTATAATACGGCACTCGTATTAATCAACACAATGCCACCTCATTTACGTCATCCCTTACCGTTGTTCATGATCCTCCTTTGAAGAGCAAGTAGAGACTGGCTTGTGTGACGAGGATTGCTGCGTACTGCTGATGGTTTCATGTTGTCGCTGTGATGGCATGGCAACAGTGGGTTTCTTGGTGGCGGATGAAGATGAAGTTTTGCTTGATTGTTGCTGTGAACGTGTGCGAGAGGTCATCTTCAATACATGCATCGACAAGGATGTCATGATAGCTTCCACTTTTTCACCTCGACAGTCTTCAAAGTAGCTGCGTCTTAGAGTCACGTTCTTGGAAAGACATTGGCCCTCCCTTCGCAATTCCTCCAACCAACGAAATGCAGTTGCAATATATAACCGCGATTGCCGTCTAAAGTCGACGATTGGCCAACAATCTTTAAAAGCCGTTCGTGCTCGCCTCGGATCGAGCTTTGTAAAAAGGAAATGACTGGTTGCAATAAACGCCTTGGTATTGTTCGCATGCGTGAACATGTCCTCGTCAAACTTCACATGCTTGTAGAGACCGGTCGCTGATTGTTCAGGCGAGAAGCCGAGCAACAAGAGGTTGTTGACAAATGTGGAGCGGTGGGACGAGTTGTCCATGAACTAGGTGTCGCGTAGTTGTTGCAGTGGTGGTGGTGTGCGGGGTGAAAGAGATGCAAGGCACAATGAACAAAATGGGACTTCGTTATGCGTCGTACACGGTCCTGTTACTAAGAATTGTATTGCCACTGCAAGCACCATACACCCCCAATTCATATCAAAACAATCATCCATATGATAGTATTCCTGATCATTAGATATCATAATTCTCCTTTTCTTAGACATCTTTCAATATCTTGTAGTTGTTCTGATGTGCCTTCATGGCCCTTGTAGTGATCATGTAGACCAATCACCCATCCATAAACGTTCAATGTATGCTGGCCACTCATTGTTGTCATCCCACATTTACGCATCTACTACGGTTACGGGGAGGTCGAAATGTAATTGAATTTCAAGTTCTATGAAATGAAGATGTTGCAGTGGCCCAGGAGTTTATCAAAGAGCCTATAATCGTATTGATTCATGTTATCAGCAGGTGATCTAGAAAGCTTTAGCGAATGACAGTGTGACAAGAACAAGAGCATTATCTCAATACATATGAGTATGTAAATGATCCAATCTCGCGTTCCAACCTTCCTATTCTATTTCCCCCTTTCAATCCAGAAGCCAACCAAGCGATCCACACCTCGCACATATGCGCTGATAGAACGATACCCCTCTAAATAATCTGTTGGACCCCATTTTCATTCAAAGAAAGTCGAGAATAGTACATTGTAGTGTGGATGTTTGATAAAGGAAGTGCATTACAAATTGAATAAGGAACGGGTGAATCACGTACGGGAGATAGAGATAATTGTGCCATCCGTTGTATTCTTGGTTAACATCCTTCATCCATGATTGCAAAGTAGCTGCTGCATGCGTTGAATCGAATACTCCAATGTCATCCATAGCTGTAGACACCTTTCGCCAATTCCATCCCATCCACCATCATCCTCAGCCGTATCCACGTGACATCGATCCATCGTTCCTGCTGACAACGCGACAAGTAACCAAAGCAACATTCCAGGAATCCTCATATATGTACTTGATTGCATCCATCCATCATAGCCATTTCAAGTCCAATAAGAAAGAGCCTCTGTGGTCGCAGCTCAAGGATTGCTTGTATTGTAGCTGATATGGCATCATCATAGGAGTTCGTATCCATCAAAGCAAGTTGCTACACGTAAATAAAGCTGCTCCTATACAATGGCTATCCACTGTTAATGTAAATGCAAGTAAAGAATGCTGTTTGCGACAATGGAATAGAGACCTTGCTAATAGCATCTGCTGATGCGTTTGGTCGTGTAGAGGAGACTGCAAGAGCGTTTGTTGTAGTAGACTGACAAGATTGCAAACGCTGTTTGAGACAATGGAGTAAAGACCTCGCTAATAGCAACTGCTGCAATGAACGCTGTTACGATTGATCGTGGCAGAGGAATGTGCAAGAGCGTGTGTTGTAGCAAGAGACTCGTGTGTTGTAGAAGAATGACTCCATGAACTCGCCATTCAGTCAAAGACAATCGGATCAAGAGCGTTGTATGATTGCCATGGTGGGTTGAAGCAGGACAATCGTTCGCAGATGGTAGTTGTATACTTGAATGGGGCTGTAGTTGAGAATGGGAGGAGAAAGAGACAATGAGAAGGGAGAGGAAGAGCTGGAAATCAAGTAGATTTTCTGTTGTTGGATGACATTCTTTGTTTGAGCATTGCTCTGTCAAATCCACTTGTATCAAGAAAGTTGAAGGATGGACACGATGGGCTGGAGCAGGGGAATCGTTCATATCATTGGTTTGGGTAACAAAAGTGAATGGGAGAGATGAGCTATCAGCTGCCAGTTATGAATGTTAAGGATTAGCGAATACAGTATCATCCATTGTTCCATCCAGTCATGCAAAACTGCTGGGTTACACAAAGACGTCCCTCTGCATCTTTTGCTCTGCCAGGGTCAGCTAGTTGACAATGAACGACGACCACTCTTCATATAGCATCACGCTTACAGCATATGTAAAACATAAAGGTACTCGTATCTCTAAACTTTACAGTCAAACGTGGGGTCTTTAATAGAACAAAATTGCTCGGCTGGGTCAAAGCGATCTTGTGTCAAAGTATGAAGTTCATCGTGCCCGATCCCAAATTCACCCAATGTCGCCACCAGCCAAAGTGGGTCGACCTCTTGGATTTTTTTTCGACGACGACGAAAATATTTTTTGGCTGGTAGCGACATTGGGTGAATCTGGGATCGGCCACGATCGACTTCATAGTTTGACACAAGATCGCGTTCACCCCGCCGAGCAGCTTTGTTCTGTTAAAGACCCCACGTTTGATTGTGAAATCTTGAGATATGACTGTCTTTATGTTTTTACTATGCTGTAAGCGTGATGCTATATGAAAAGTGGTCTTTGTTCATTGTGAAGTAGCTTGACCGTGGAGAGCCAAAAATGCAGAAGGACCTCTTTGTGTGACTGAGCTAAAAAGTCCGGACTTCAGGGACAATGCACGACAGGTACGCAAACCTCATTTGCAATCCATACATTGGCAGTTAAGATGCACTTTTCTCCATTCCGGACTTTTGCCGATCTGTTTGATGGAAGCGATGCTCCTGCTGCAGAGGTTCATTTCCATGGTTAAAGTATCTTGATCCGAGCTGATTTGATTGAGCTATGGCCAAACCAAAAAACATCAGTTGAGGTAGATCGAGCACGCTCTATAGTGCTGAGTGATGTAATCTCTCTTGGACCGTAGCTCAACCAAATCAGCTCCAATCAAGCTACTTGGATCATGGAAATGAACCTCTGCAGCAGACGCATCGTTCCATTGTTATGGAATTGAAAAAGGCTGCGAATGGGGAGAAATGCATGTTAGCTGCCGATTCGTGACATGTTACTAAAGCCATAAAGTATCATACATTGACCTTTCCAATTCAACCCAATCAGCTGTGCTACACAAACGCGCCCGTCTGCATCTTTCGCTCTGTCATGGTCTAGCAACTTGACATTAAACAAAGACCACCTTTCATATAGTATCATACATACAGCATATGTAAAACATAAAGGTGCCTGTATCTCTAAACTTTACAATCAAACGTGGGGTCTTTAATAGAACAAAATTGCTCGGCGGAGTCAAAGCGATCTTGTGTCAAAGTATGAAGTTCATCGTGGCCATTCCCAGATTCACCCAATGTCGCCACCAGTCAAAGTGGGTCGACCTCTTGAATTTTTTTTGACGACGACGAAAATATTTTTTGGCTGGTAGCGACATTGGCCAAATCTCGGATTGGCCATGATGAACATGAGACTCTGACGGTGTATGCTTTCGGCCCCGGCGAGCAATTCTGTTCTATTAAAGACCCCACGCTTGATTGTAAATTTCTGAGTTACAAGTGTCTTTATGTTTTTACTATGCTGAAAGCGTGATGCTATATAAAGAGTGGTCGTTGTTCATTGTCAAGTAGCTAGACCAGGTAGCCAAAGATGTAGAGAGGTGTGTTTGTATAGCATAGCTGATTGGGCAGGTGTTAAAGGGCCTTTGCTATTGGCGGAGAATGCATGAATGACCCTAGCCATTATACGGTAGATAGCAAGGTACGCCTACGATAGCATATAAAATGGTTGTTCTTATGTAACGTTGAATAGGATATCGTTAACTGAAAATGTGATTGGTATAAGAAGCATGGTATGCCCATGTACTCCCGCCACACTGCATCACACCTCACATCTTTCTTGAACGTATATAATGGATTAAGCTTACAGTGAATTGAATCAAGCTTCTGTAACGATCATTTTATTGTTGGGTATCTTCACTCTTGAATTTCTTATGTTTGCAATAAACAAGCATTCCAAAATTGCTTCTGGCCATTTATACCATCACAGCACTTTATCATAGCACAATAACTCGTAGCAATGCAAACGTATGCAACAGCAGAGATACATTATTTATTTCTTGTATGTACGTAAGAAGTAAAGATGGTTCATTAATTCATCTAATGGAAAGTGAGCGTAAACTTGGAGGTCAAGTCAATGTCAAGGCCTTGAACAACGGCAGCACCATGCTCGTCCTTGGAAACTTGGAACTTGTTGCCCTTGTGATTAGCAGTCTTGAGGTGATCATTGCATCCGATGATTTTGATCGTATCGAGCTTCTCAGCATCGGCATAATCAAAGGTACCTCGGGCCTTGAGAACACCATTGCGATACTCAAAAGTAATGTCCGAAGTACCTTCTTGCTCAATCGAGTGTCCATCATCCATATACAAACGACCTGAAGCACGTCCCTTGTTGTCAAGAGCGATAAGGAGACTATAAGGTGACTTGAAAGTATCGGTCACAAGGTAAGCAGAAGTCTTGAGAGGGATGATGGCACCACCACGGACATGAATAGGGATATGAGTCAATGGAGCATCCAATGTCACAGACGACTTGCCCTCGACAGCCTTGTAGGTATACCAATCATACCAAACACCAGGTGGGATTTGTGCGTTCTCTACTGAGGTGGCGTTTTCATAGAGCACAGGCGAGATGAGGATATCAGATCCAAGCAAAATTTGTTCATCGTTGTCAAGGTACTCGTTTTCCTTGGGGTACTCGAAAATCAAAGGTCTCCAGAGACCAGTACCAACACGATGAGCCTCTTCATATAGCGTGTAAAAGTAGGGGAGCATGCTGTATCGGATAGCAAGTGCTTTCTTGCTTGCTTCGGTTACGGACTTCCATAAGAAAGGCTCTTGTGAAATAGCAACGTCGTTATTATGGTTACGGGCGAAAGGATAAAAGGCACCAAGAGCGGACCAACGTGCACAAAGCTGTTCATTCGTATCGTCATTGAAGCCACAAACATCGGCACCAGCGTATGAAATACCAAAGAGATGTTGATTGAAAATCTCTGCAATAGAAATCTTAAGCTTCTCCCATGTCGAGTGGTTGTCACCCTATATAGATACATATAAGTAAAATCATCCCATGATAGTATAGCCATGTTTTTGATACTCACAGTCCAATGACCCATCTTCTTGCCGGAACCAGGGAACATGGAACGACTCAAAAGGAAAGGACGTTCATTGGGCTTGTGTTTCAAGAGAGCCTACAAGGATGACGAGTCAACAAGATGAAAAGAAACAAAAAGCTGTGCCAGTAGTAGACAACATACTTGACGTGTGACCTCGCCTTCGGCATGACCATAGATATTATGGAGATCGTAGTGAGGAATACCACCATAGTGAAGCGAGTTGGTAGAAGCAGTACGGAAGGAAAGATCACCATAGCCATTGCGAATTCTGTACTTTGGATACAAGAGATTACGTGAATCGCCTGGTGTCGAGTTGCCATAAGAGTCGATGGCTTTTTGCCACTCAGCAATCAAGGCTTCTGCCTTGTCATCATCGAGTTGCCAATAGAGATCAGGCCAAGTATCTTGCTTGCCTGTACCACAGGAGCCAAGGCAGAATGAAGATGGCTCATCCATGTCAATCCAAAGACCATCCAAATCAAGTTTCTTGACCCAATCAATAATTTCCTTGCCCCAAAACTCAGTGATGTTGGGATGCCACCAATCTGGAAAGACCTAATGTCATAGCAAATGTGAGCCATCATCATCAATGATGAGCGTCAATCATGCATCCACTTACTGTATAGCCAGGCCAAACTTGGCCGACAAACTCGCTGCCATCGTTGTTCTTCATAAAGACATCCATTTCTTTACCACGCTGGTAGACATCATAGCTGGTATTCGTACTCAAAGCAGGGTCCACCATGGTAATCATACGTTGCGAGTTGCTGTGCATACGATGACTCAAAGCCTTCATGCTTTCTTCGGGGAAGTTGACCTCATCAAAAGTGAAATCCTTACGGCGGTCCATGTAATCGATATCGACCCAAATGGTTTCCACTATGATAAAAATGATGTTAATGCATACATCCATCATCTGCCCTATTGCACCTTACATGGAATGCCAGCCTCTTCATAGCCATCCACAGCCCAGTTGACATGGCTGATATTCTTGAAACCATAACGGCAATGGTGCCATCCCAACATCCAGTGTGCTACATAGATGAGAAAAAAGGATGAATAAATATCATCACACGCAACAGCAAGTGTGTCACAATAAGGATCGTACCTGGCATGAATGGTTTACCAATAAGGTCAGTGTAAGATTGCATCACCGAATTGGGTTTAGCATCCTTGGGAACGAAAAAGAAAAATTCGAGGACACCACCAATAATCTTGTATGTAATGCGTCCTTCCTTGAAAAAGACATCCATACCATGAGCATTCAAAAGAAGTGCACCGTGTGCTTTGCCATTGCGGAGCTCGGTGTAATAGGGGTGAGCACCATAGATGTTCTTGTAGAACCTATGTTGTGTAACACCATGATGATTAAACGCCTCATCGTCATCTTGTCATTTTCGCATATACTTACGGTGTGGCATCATCCCGGTTCCATAGCGTAGTAACATTCTAATTTAAAAACGATCTTAGTAATGAAGCAGGATAATGTTAGCATGCACACACATACCTGCTTGTTATCGCGACGGAAGTTGGTGACCACTTCTCCTACACCGTAGAGATTGGTATCCTTTGGTACAGCCGTTGAGATTTCAAGGTATTGGTCTTCGAATACGAGAGGATAATCGGTGGTATCAAAGATGACCGACTTGTCGGCTTTACGAATGACTTGGAAACTAAAAGGGCTTTCTGTGTACTTGAAATCATAGTTGCGCTTTCGTGCAGCACGATCATGTTTGCTTCTTTCCAAACCAAGAGGGGAATCAGGTACGGGAATTTGCTTTCCCTCCTTGTCAGCAATAAGAACACGTAAACGGTCTTCAGCTTCAAAGTCTACAGAGACTGTCAAGTCGTCGATTGTTTTGCCAAAGAGATCACGGCCTTCCTCCTTGTTATCACCCATGAATGATAGAGGGAATTCCAAGCCTGACTTTGTGCGCACAACCTCTCCATCGATCTTGTATCCAGGAGCCGAGGATGAAACATCTGTCAAAAAAAGGTTGTTAGAATACAAAGCCTTGTTGAATCATGAATGATAAAACGTAATACCATAGTTGGGCTCAGGGATATCAAATTGGATGTCTGCAATGGCACTCGCCAAAAAGACTGCCGTGGCGAAAAGAATAGGAGAAAGTTTCCTCATTTGTCTTGGGATTGAGGGGATGAGATATGCATCATTGCTCCGTATTTATAATTTGATCTAATCAATCCGGGGTAAGTGATCCCCCTTTCGTTGTATCAGCCGGGTCCCGCTTTCTGGATTCCCAGGTCGACAAACACTACAAGATGTACCACCTGCAATCAATTCTCCCGCACTCATGTACACCGTCATACAAAGTTGCCGATGTATACGGCCCCATCAACGTGAGAAGATTCATTCATCCCGCCTTTAGCTTTTCGAAAACGAGGAAGATGATCATGTTGTTAGTAGCCGTTATTAAAGAAAAGAGACATTGATGGGTATGGTTTAATACACGCCTACATGAAATAATGCCATGGCAATGGCTGAAATTGTTGCCATGGCTACGTACTTGTAACCGCATAATTGACAACAAGGCAATTCAATCTCAAAGCGTATCTTTGAGTGGATGGTATAATATTCGCTTGGAGTCAACGTGTAATGTCGTACATTTCAGCACAAAGAACAGGCGACGGGAAGCTTCCCATCGGTTAGGTTCTTCCCATCGCTGATATCATTTTCTTTACTCCATGTCTCCGAAAATGGAAGATGATACCAAGCATGGTATAATCGAGGCATGATGTAACGTTAAAGCACAAAGTCACAGAGATCGGGATGAAAGGAATGGGGGATAACGCATAGCGTTTACCAAGATCCTTACAAAGATTTTAGGTATGACAAAACGGAACAGAAGCGGGAAACTCGGTATCAAACTTTATTGGAACCCTTGGTGCAACATCTCCCTTCAATATGAATTGGATCCACGTAAGATCATGGCTTTAGCATTTACCCGGGTTGATGGTGCCAATAGAGTATGTCGATATGTGCGTGTGTGTTACTTGATAGAAACAACTTGATCCGGGTCTTTATGGTATTAATCGGGCTGTGTCCACTTTGAAAAACGTTGATGTCTGTTACTGCTTCTCAATGGGTCATCAAAGGAGAAATGTTAAAGGATTGGTAAATACGGGTGATGCCGTATGCTTGAGACCCCATCTGATACAAGCTGTACTAGTCCATAGATCAAAGAATACCAAGTTTGTGGTTTATTGTATCTTCTCATGAGCATGAATGATGATTCCCCGTATTCCATTAGAGCAATTACACAATATACACACTATCCTTTGGAATATGATGGTACAATTTTATTATCGTTAAGAATGGAAAGTGACATTGAGGACGTTTGGCTTCTCGTAGTTCTCCAGATACCTGAGCTCTTTGCTCTAAATCATTGGATGAGTATTTTATACATCTCTGAACATGGCAATCATAATGAGCACTTACCACTGCACGTTTCTTTGTAACGGTCATTTTACTCCTGACAGCAGTGTAATAACTCACGCCATCCCGAAAAGCAACCATAATCTGGGAATGTTGGTTGTCATGGTCGTATAGATATTCTCGAGCAGAAAGATAGGTAATGGACTCATCACTGGGAAGACCTTGTACGCCGGCATTAAAAGCATCCTTCTTTTGTTGCACGAGTTTTTCAGTCCCACTTTCATCAGGAAGGAACCATATGAGATAGCTGTCGTTTTGGTCATGTGGGTTGGTGATGGGTCGCATAATACCACGATCCGTTGCATCCAGTGCTGATAATCGTGCCTCTTTCAATGTGCTGCTGATTTCATCCTCGTCGATGTATTTGCGTTTGCCAAGTCGTCTTTCATTTGCTGGATCACCGCTAAACTGTCCAATGGTGTAAATGGTATTCTCACAAAGCTTGTCAGGGAGCAATGGCGTGATGTTCTTGACCTTGGCCTTGGTACGAGGATGCACCAATTCATCCGGTGAGATATTGAATCCATCCACCACAACATCGAATGCTTCAGCCAATGTACGACGACGCTTGTTGCTCGCTTTGGAATCAACTTTGGCTTTGCTCTTCTTTTCAACAAAGGTTTGCGACAATGACGATGGCTTGACCCAAATCCTCGTTGCTGGTTCCTGTGATCCAGGTTCTTGTTCTGAAGGTGGTTGCTGTAAAAACACTCGATCCTCTTCTGAAAGTGCGTATTCGTTGCGAGCGACTAAAAAGAAAGGGCGATAAGGATGACATGGATCATGTGATGTATGTAGCCTTCTTACCTTCAGAGCTGTTGTTTGCTGCATTGAGGTATTCTACTAGCGGTTGATCGATGACGATACCATAGCTAGGTTCTACGTGCAACGGTGACGGATTCTCGCCAATAGTGCTGTCGTGATGTGTCGCATTGATCTTGCCCAGTGCTCCAAGAGAGAGGAATTTGGGTGGAAACGGCAATGGTGGTAATTTGCTTCTGTATCGGACGCGACAGATGTAGTCTCCTTTGTATCTTTTGTATCATTCGCGTGGATTGAGTCAATAAATCGTGAAGGGCAAGATTAGCAGACCTACTTTTTGGACATGGTGGGGGAAAGAAAAGCAACTCCGTGGGGGATGTCTCAAGATACGATTATCTCTCAGATCCTTATTCGACATTCACACTTGAAGCTGCAGAGTAGAACAAAGTCATTGATCTTGTTGGAGTGCTACCTATACTATTCGAAGCATAAGGTGGTTGTCATCCATATCTTGCATTCAAACCCTGCTGACATTGATAATGTTGCCCTATATTCGATTATACCGTACACACTGAAAGGGGTTCGTTAAGCTAGGCCATATGACTTGCCATTGCCATCAATGGTGTAACCTATATATGAAGCATGTTGAAAACCATGATAGGGAGGAAAAGAGAGTGAGCGTCATTCCTGTTTAAAACCATGCATCTTGTGACATGACATCCATTGAAGCTTGTATGAGAATACATCAGCCCTTTTGATATGGATGTACATTAACTGCTTCATTGTATTTGCCCATGTTCTACTCACTACTATGTAGTCTTTAACATCACATATTGCATTTCATAACAAGACATCTTGGAACGAGTCAACTCACAACATTGCACATGCTTTTTTTATTCAGAGTACATAACGTAAATATGCTTTCATGACATGATCAGAAAACTTTGATTCCATTGTTGCTCAAGTACTATTCATCTAACAATAACCAAAGGCAAGGTAAATGTCAATAGTACGAGACGCTGAGAGAGCCGATTTTCTGACGCCGCTCAATGGGGAAATCCACAGGGCAACGGGTTTGGAAAAATCCCGCTCAGTTTGGCGCAGTGGACGTCCCTCCTCTTTCATATATTTGCGATGGTCAAATTCATTAAGGCTGGCAAGGTATGAACGAAAACGATAGGGGAGCAACAAGATGAGAGCGAAAGAGAGAGAAAAAAGAAGAGGATGGATGAAGAAGATGGATGGATGGATGGATGAAAGGATGGATTAGGTTGTGAAACGCAAACGAAGTATGGACCATGACAACTCATTTTACGCATTTAGGTCGTCGTTCTCTTGCAAGGTCGTTATGCTGGCAAGAAGGCTGTGGTTGTCCGCAGTATGTATTTACACATATATAAAAGAAAGTGCACCACTTGCAGTATACTGATGAAGGCGTGATGTTATAGACCACGACGAAGGCACCAAGGATAGACCCTATGGCTACGCTGTCGTTGCCGGTGTCGAGCGCACTCCCTTGAAGGTCACCCGTGCTATGGGTAAGAAGAAGGTTGCCAAGCGTTCCCGCGTCAAGCCTTTCGTCAAAATCATCAACTACAACCACATGATGCCCACTCGGTATGTCTCTCTCTCATTTAACTATACATAGTGTCATCATGATGTCCTGATGTTTGTATGTTATCTTAGTTATGCTTTGGATCTCGAGCAAATCAAGGGTACCGTCTCTGCTGAGACCTTCAAGGATGCCTCCCAACGTGTTGAAGCCAAGAAGGTAATTAGGATCAATGATGATGATATCGAGTATGCAGGTCTTTAACATGGCAATCTAGGTTATCAAGAAGCTCTTTGAAGAGAGATATCAAACCGGCAAGAACAAGTGGTTCTTCAACAAGCTCAGATTCTAAGCATTGTTGAAATGGTTCTGAAACATTAAAGAGTTTTTTACATCTGAAAACAACATTTATCAGAGGAATATGAGGATGGAGGACATGGTATTGGATACGGCTTTCTATTTCAATCCGAAAACAGCATCTAGCATGATGCGTGTAGCAGCAAAGGTCCCCTTCATGGATACTAATCGAGCAAAATTGGCCGGAATACGGGTGTATAATTCTTCCCTTTCAGCTGGATGTTTCTCATTAGCATTTGCAGCATAATCATTGTGCAATATGACTTACGTGATCCAGTGGTATATGCTTCCATCCTTATATTGGGGATGACTTGCTCACAGATATTGATCGACACGTCCATGCTAAGGATGTTTATGTCCCATATCAGCCGTATTTCATGGTCTTGCTCTCTAGGATAAAAAAAACCGCCCACCGTTAAGAGCTAGATAACCCACATCATAAACCCCCTTACCTGTAAAATTTCAATGTATTGCTCCCAATGTCTTCCACAGTGATTGCTGACGAGTATAATTCATGCAAACGTTGAAATAATGTCCTTCGGTCATCGATCAATCGACCATAGTGTATCAAGAGCCGAAAGAATCCTAAGAGGTTGCACTCTTCTTCGATCCTATTCATCTCAATCAATCAAAGGGTATCGTAAGGTCAACGTCTTGTCCTATTTACCTTTTAAGCAAAGTACACAGTTCGAATTGTGTTTCCATGCCAACTTCAACCTTGAGGTTTTCAATGCATAGTTGATCTTGTCGTATAGTGAATGTCACAGTAAATTGTTGGCCGTATGATGATCCACACAATTCGCAATGTCGTACAGTGCCTGTTGTATATATACATGCATGAATATCCACACAGGAGCGTATTCATTCATGATACATACCTGGGCCATCTGCGTATTCAATCTTGTTGGATGCCTTTGTGAATTCAATATGTGCAAAATCGATTTGGGATCGAACCTACAGCAAGCATTAGGAAATGCGTAATCACCATAGCAACACAAACAACGTACCTCAGGATCCTGCATTGCTCGTTCTCGAAGTTCAGCATGTGACTGTATAAAATCGCTTGTGGATATGTCGGCTGCGTTGGATGGAAGAGGTGCACTCGCAATACGAATCAAGTAATCACTAACAGGGTACTCAGCAAAGGTACAAGTGCATCTAGGCGTAATCAACCTACAAGATAACATCCAAATCCATAGGATCGTCGACTTGTTCTTCATCATCTTGAAGCTGTGCTCGTTGTTCAGGTGTCATCTTCACCACGGACGCTTCCTTTTCTCGACGTTGTCGTTGTATCTTCAAATCATATCTTAGTTTGGCCACCTCCTTCTCCAGTGCCTTGACTTGGTCAGAGAGTAGTCGACGTTGCTCTTCGAGAGGGACCTGATTGTTCTCTTGGGGGTCGACATTGCGTGATTCCTATCTTGTGGATCAGTATCCTTTGTTCCTCTTCCTGTTGACAATCGCATGGCCCACTTACAATGCTTTCTTTAATCTGCCGTTCGGTACTACTTTGTTGAGCTGCAAGTAATCGTTGTTGGAATTGTTGACTTGTGGTGCGAGCGTCAAAAGAAAAGTCCTCAGCGTTGTTCTCGTCCATAGCAAAAGTGAATAAAAGGTGGGATTGTGTCACCCACAACGCGCTTTTCTGTGCACGTAGTTTTCATCTTCCGTGGTGATTGACAACATTTCTACATCCCGCTCTCTCCTCCCACATCACCCAAAATCCATCATTAGATAGACCACAATAAAAATCTTGGTATGCATTATCCACATTGTGTTCATTATGAGCGTTTGGAATTAGGGTTGGTAAAAAGGATTTCGAGGAAAAGGGGAGGGTGTGATTCAAGACGCTTGAAAAATTGTCGCGTACAATAACGGATAAACCTTACTAGCTCTGTGATGGCTGTGCTTCTGGGGAGAGTGTTTTGTCGGCCTAATATCTGGTTGAAGAGGTTCAACACCGGGAGCTAATAACCAATAAGTAAGCCCATCATCCCTTGATATACAACTAATAGCAACAGTTACCTTGTAGAAAATCTGCTCACATTTGCGTTTGACCATGATGCGATGGAATAGATTTGTAATACAAAGAACAAGATGTGGTTCCAAGGTATCCAGCTGCTCAAGAAGTATACAATACACCCGAACAACGTCATAATGCAAATATTTCTATCATGATGGATTACTAACGTATTCAACAATGAGGAATAAAACCACCCACCTTTTCAAAAGCATCAAACTTGAAAACGTGCTCGCGATAGGCCACCTGGGTTTCGCGTTCTTCGTCTTCTTCAGAGTCATCCCCATCCTCCCCTTGATTTGTTGGCGCATCTATGAATCAATGTAAGCATCAAGTAGGGAAATCCTGTATTCTCAAGTTTTACCTTGCTTTTTCTTTTGCTTGATCTTCCTCCGTACAAACATGAATTGATTCTTGGATGAATATTGCTCCAAAAGTTTGAGCATGATATCTGTAAGCTCGACTGCACTCTTCAGATAACTAGGATTCATAGCAGGATGCGTTAATGGAATCCCATTGCATTCAAATCCCAAAGGTGCTTACCCATATGACTGGTTCTTGTATTTTCGAATCATGTTGACAAAGAGATCCAACGTTGAATGCTCGTGATAGATATTACTGAGGATGTATTCAGCGACTTCCCGGAATTCTTCATGGGGTGAAGCTGCCATTGTGCTGGCTGTTAATAGCTAAATCACCATCATGAGTCGATTGTCTTCGTCATTGCTCCCTTTACATTCGTTCTTACCAGCTGTCGAAAACAATCAGCCATCACCTGCACTTCGGCCCAATTCTATTGATAAAATCTTAGCATCATGTCCTATAAACAAGCATAACCTTGTTCTTTTTACCTTTTCATCCATCACGGTTTGTAATCGCCGAAGACAAAGTAAGAAAGCTCTCAAATCCATGGCGGTTGCCACCCGATCATGATCAAACAGTAATTGCTCCTCATTTTCCATCTCTTGTTGTGGCTGCTGTTCTTCGGTGCTAGGCGTATTTTGTTCTCTGTTGGGCAAATACAATTCATCCGAGTTGAAGATGCCTTGACTCTTTTCTTTTTCCAAAGCCTTCTTTTCACGTTCACGTGATGCATGCGCTTGCTCATAACCCAGGTATTCGAGGAACCATCGCATCGTGTAAAACAACCGTCGAAAGTCCTTGTCCATGATTTTCTTATCCTCACGCTCGATATCCTTAATGAGTGACAGATAAAATGCTATCATGAAACACGCCATTAGTATCACCGTTTTTTTGGGCCTCGCATATATCCTAGACTTACGGTTGAATGCATTCTTTAAAAATGATTGGGCCATTTCCTTGATACGGCACATGGCAGCGGTTGTTGTGTAAGCTTTGCGACCCCCTTCATCCTAGATACATATACTACCATCAACAAGTGTGTTTCCTTTTCAAAATCCCTGAATGCTTACCCGTTCCTTCCGTTTGACACCTCGACGATCGGGCTTTTTGGTGCTATCCATGATGTCTGATAAAGGTGCAAATGCTGCATCTTGTTTGTGCGAGACCCTAGTTTCACCATCCTAATACACCTCCGTGAGTCACACGCTCAATGGTCTCCTTCTCAATGGCCTTTTTACCCATGATTTGATAGCATAAGTGCCTCCGAATCGTTGATGGCGTGTAGGTGCATTCCGAATTTGGGCACGTTTCCTCTCCGTCTCAGCACGTAGCAATGCAGACACCTTATCCGAAATCATGCTCGCACTTTTATCCTATATACAAAAGTCCTTAACTCGACTCTTCTCATCCATACAGGTGGTCCATCCTACTTACCTTTCCTTTCAAATCACTTTCAAAAATCTCCTTGACGGGAACGCCTTGAAGCAAGTAATAAAGGACCTCCAATACAATCACATTCCATTCTGCACTATCAGGCTCATTGCTGTTGGATGCAATCACCAATAATAGCTCAATGATGCCAGCATCACAAAAACGTAACAACATTTTCTCCTAAATAAGAAAGCAAATAAGTGATCCATTGCGACCTTTTGTCCACTTGCACTTGGGGTTACCTGCATAGAAGCCATCATGAGTGATTCTTCAGGAGCACTTTGTGATACATTCAAGTCCGGAATAGCAGCCAGATTGCGTATGAAATATAAGACAAGGCGAATCACAATTTGGTCGCGCATGGATCGTTCACTACATCCACCACCATCCTTATACATCAGTCACTTTTTCTTTCTTGATCATGGTTGTGTGCTGCTGCTTACCGATAAGGAATGGCCAATGGATCCACCAAGAGACGTGTCACTGCTTCTAGAATGCCGGGTTGTAACAATGCCAATTTGTATCGACGATAGCGTAAAAGAAGATTGGGATCATATTCCTCGTCGTCCTCGTCATCGCTGTCATCATTCTTGGGAGCTTGTTGTCGTTGTTGTAATGGCCATGTCATTGGTACGATCAACTCCACTAAGACATAGAGGTATAAGTTTCATATGGAAGGACTTGTAGGATGAGATCCACGACTTACAACATGCGAGGATCAAGCGTTCAGCTATTTCTGATGGGTCACGTGCGTGCATTTTGATGATGGGTATGAAGTCATTCTCGAGAGTATTGAAGTCGGCAAGAGCTGGAAGGAAGGTCTTGTATGGAGCATTGCTCTCGGCCCGAATGGCCCGTTTGAGATCCCTGAGACAACCTGAATTCCATGGAGGGAAGAAGACCGTTAATTCATCCGGGTGGTTCCCAAACAAAGAGTCGATCCGATCTATTACCAAGTGCTTGGTCACCCAAGGTATACACTTGCTTAATGACGCCGGGAGCTGTTTCCTTTTCTTCGTATCCACCGAGTGCTGTACATGTTGCTAGAATGTAATTGCGATTCTGTTGGATAACTCCATTGTCGTCGTCGTCGTAGTCCATGGCAATCAAGCAGGGAAGGGGAAAAAGGGTCCACACGAGCTGGCCGTCAAAATGGGGAGGAGCGGCGGTAGGGGTGACACTAATGGCGACAAGACGCGTCGTCCAAAATGCACGCGTCTCAAATCTTTGTGAAACATCGGTCGCATGCTGATGCATACTTTTTCCACTTGGCGATTCTGTTCCATCCTCTTTGTTTTCTATCCTTGGCTCCAAATTTATCCTTCAATGTCATTTTGACGTCTGATTCCTTTGCATCCATCATCGTCAACCCTGGTATTCGTTATAAAGATGAGATCCAACAACCATTCATACTACCTATGCATAAAGACACTTTGGTGGGCACAAGTGGTCAATAACAAGATGACATGTGATCCTATTAATAAAGTAGACAATGATGATGAATAAATGAATCATAGACGAATGAACGTTTAAGCCAAGCTACTCACTTCTTTTGGTGATTTTTCTACCATGCCTGCTCCCGGGTATATTGCACGTGAGACAAAGCCAAGGCTTTCCATTGTCTTTGGGGAATGGATTATGACATGAGACAAAGACTTGTGGCAGTATGTCATGCGGCAACATCGAAACATTCTTGTAAAGATGTTCCTTTTTCCATGCAGAAGCCTATGGTTTAGCTTTCAAACACCGCTCCCGAGTGAGTATAAAGGGAGCTCTTCTTGGAAACTGCTTGCCCTATTTCTCCCATATCTCAACATACAGTATCCAAAGCTTTATGACCTAATTTTCTTATGCCCATCTGTACCAAACCATTGGAATATCTCGAAGATACACGATCACCTAATTCGACAACAACTACCAGTACTGTCACGGTGGCGGAGCTTTATGATGCTGATGAAGCAACATCATCATGCCATCATCACCGTATCAGCCCAACACCAGGAACGATGAAGCCATTGACAAACCATGAAACGAACAACAATGACGATGACAATCAAGTCGAAGATGAAGAAGAAGAAGATGAAGAACTAGCCATATGTGGAGACTGTGGCCGAGTGCTTGGTCCTGGATGGCAATGCAGCAGTTGCCGTCGAAGCTGTCCTCATTGTAATCGAGCCTTAACTACGGATCCCGATGATTATTGCGGTCGTTGTTTTCGAAAATGCATCAAGCATGGTATTGTTTACTCCTTGATCTCTGGCGATGGTTGTCCAAAATGCTCCAAGAGTACAATGACTTCAAGGCCGTCTCGGTAACAATAATAGATACATGCATTCTACTCATTTCCCTTTTTCCCTTTCCTTCCCCATCATCAGTAAAATAGAACTCATCATTCGCATTTGTATTTACTACATGCTATTGTTCATATACATTCTTCATTCATCATCTTTATTAGTACATAGAAAAATATACTTTTTTTGGTCATAAGTAAACACAATCTACTTTATTTGGCTGTAAAAGAGAAAGATGGACATTGTGCATTACTAGATCAATGTATGTGTAGGTGGGCGGTGTTATAGTTGGTAAACTCGAACAATGAAATCGCCACGGGAATCTGTGGTCGTGTGTCGTGTTACATTTTCATGCTTCCTCAACGCTCTATTATCCGCACTCGATACCTGACCCCTTTCAAAATCCTGATCCTGATTCTGATTGACCACTTTAGTCGCAACTTGATTCCATTCGAGACAGGGCCAAAGTTGATCAGCTTGTTACTCGACTACATTCAGGTGGGCATTCTTCCTTTTGTCCATGCCAACACAGTGTATGCTCATTCATGGCTGGTAGACATGTGATACGCGACAAGATCCTTCACCCGTAGAGATCGTCAATGACTTTAAGGGCATTACAGAGTCTGGGAACTCACAAGAATGGCTCGAGCCGCTCCAAACGAGTGTATGTTGGCATAGTGCGCGCACGAGAGGTAGACAACTCACCTGATTTCAATGCACATAGATCAAGGAGATGAATAACCCAGACAAGCTCTTCCAATTCATGTATTGTACGTATCGCTTAGAGCGAAAGGATCACTTTTCATACTAAGATCTCTATCTTTTTGTATAGCTCTCATCGATACGCTTGAAGAAAAGGAACAAATCGTGCGTAAGATCCATCTGCTTATCATACTCTATTTGCTGATGATACCATTAGGCAGGATCATGGGAGCCAGAGGCGATGATTATGGTGAGTAAAGAGAGTGGGGATGGATAAAGCTATACAATGTATCTTACAATGAATGGCATAGGATAAATCAAGCATTCTGGGTTTCTTTGTTCGACGTTGCCGACTCGAGTTTCTCAATGCATCCATCCTTCAACGAAATGAGCTCTTTACAGTATTCCAGCAATATGCCATGACAGCAACCGGCATCAACACCAATGACATTATGGATATTGATACCATGGACAACACGTTTAAGCGACCTTATATCACGCACAAGACATCCAAACAAAAGCATGAAACCAATGGAGGTAGTTGTTGAGAGTATGACCCACCTGGCCCATTTGGTTCTATCAACTTATCAACAACCTGGATTTAGGATGGTGGATTTCAGAGCATTATGTGGACAAGTTTTTAACAACAGAAGCGGAGCGTATTGAACGTAAGCTATTTCAAGTATGATTGTGTACATACGTTATTCATTGCCTATGTAGAAACTCGAACATGCGACATATCTCCTCAAGCATTGGACAAGTATCTCAATTTCCTCCAGACGTATGCACCTGATTTGGGCAAGATCCATCAAGTGAGATTTGTCAACTACATCCGCACATCAGAATACGAGGGCGCTGTTGCCAATCTTCATCGATTCTTTGATTACTGCCTCTTGTACCGGGAAACGCAAGTACATCTATACACCACCCCATGCTATGTTCTTGATATAGGCAACTAACATAAAAAGTAGGCCTATGTATCATTACGCACTCTTGAATCTTGGTATTCTTGAAGCAAAGTTTGGTCATGTGCGACGTGCAGCAGCTGTAAGTGTCATCAATAGTAGGAGATCTTAGTAAGTACTGATATCCATGATAGGCATTTGAAGAAGCATTGAACGTTGCACGAGAAAATCAAGATGACAATTGTCTCGACGAGGTTGTGAGGTAAATTTATATGTAGTAGACAATCATACGTGGTATTTACACGCGTCTTTGATATAGCTGGAATTTACACATGAAGAGCATCGGGTCGACATTGCTTCAAAATTTCAAGCATCGTGTATCCACAGATCAAAATGGTCCCAATGCTATCTATTTGGAAAGTATGACAAAGCTTACTTATGCAAGAGATATGATTCGTCGTGTAAGTAGGGGCTTTTTTCTTTCTCTTCGTTTCATGATCCACGGACTCATCGTCATTTTACTTAGGGTGATTCGCCTATCTCAGTGTTTGAAATGGTCAACAAGAGCGCCGTACAGAGTTCTATTGGGAATGTAAAGTACACAGCGAGAACAAGCTACCTATTCAAATCATGCATTTGGGATATTTATGGTACAAAGGAAACAGCAGCCTTGTGACATAGGGGGGTGGATGTTAAAGCGTGTATACCCTTTATAGGTTTCCGTGCTTTATCTGAAGCATACCTGGATGCAGCCAAGACAACAGAAGAAGGCACCAAAGAGGACACTGAAGAATTATACCTACTAGCAGCTAGGATGGTAATCGAAAACGAATCATGCTTTATTTGCCAAGATCTAATTTTTGGTTTGACAGCGTGCATCCATGGGTGAATTTGACAATGCTCTTGAAATCTTGGAAGAATACGGCAACACATACCCTGATCAAAGCCGAATGTCATTAGTCTGGAAGCAGTTACAATGCCAAATAAGACATCAAAAGCAGCGACAATGGTATGTATACATGCTTACGTGATGTAGCGAACGATGATGATGCTAACAGGCGGTCCAAAGCGAATTCATAGGGGAACAATTACCTGAGACACAAGATCAACAAGACCTATGGCGATTTACACATCCATCTATGCCAGAAGATCATATTGCCGCCTTGCATGAATTAGCGCTTGCTCACGCTAGGAGAGATTGTCCGGAGCAATATGGTGTGATCCTTGATCAATGCTATGCCTCAGTACAAAGAACCGACAACCTTCCTCAAATCATTACGCTTAGTATTGAAAAGGGCCGATATCACATGGTAAGGACTCAAAAGGGGAGAAGGAAGGAATAGCCATGTTTATACAAAAGGTACATTAGGAGAAGCAAGATTATCAAGGTGCACAAGAATGGCTTATCCAAGCATTGAATACAGCCAAACGCATTCGCGATATACCCCAATATTGTGCAGCAACGATCCAACTCTGTGAGGCGTGTTTTATGGCAGATCGATCGACGGCGCCTAATATCATGTCTATGCTCGATACCATCATGCCCAAAGTGCTCACGTTACGATCACTGCAATTGCAATCCGATCTTTTCCTGGTCTATGGAGTTGCCTTACGATGGTGCAGTGGTGGCGATGAACAAACCGCTGATACGGCATCCAACAATTATATTGAAAAAGCTACAGCAGGATACAAACAACTAGGGATAGATGTCAATGACAAGAACATTTTGTCCTTAATATGATAATTTTCATTGTTGATGCAATCGGTTAATATACAATCTAATACATGCGGATAGAGTAACGTGGGATTGGGCTGTGGTGTGCAAATGTGTTGTCTACCGTTTAAGTCTGCCGGTGTAGGTAACCTTGGGTCCTTTGCGACCCTTCTTTGTAACTTTGCCAAGTGGGACATAAGCATAGGGATCCGATTGGTTCTTTTTCTTGACATCACCTCCTGCTTTCTATTGAACAAAAAAAAAGACATTCATTCAATAAACCCATTCCTATCTCTCCCATTGTCTCTTTTTTGCCATTTACCTTTGAGCGGAATTCCTTGCCAATCATTTCAAATTGCTGCTTGGCCTTCTTTTTTCGTTTTGCTGCAGCACCTTGATCCACGTCCATGGCGTCATTATCATCGAAATCATTGTTTTGGCCGCCCTTTTTAAACTTGATCTTGTTTTGCTGTGTACGCACAAAGCCATCGGCACTCTTTTGTGCTTGCATGTAATAATCTTCGGTCTCCTCTTCATCTGAATCATTGTCACTCTCATCGTCCGATTCTTTGAACACCATGCGGCCATCATCATCGTATTCGGCAGATTTAGCCAACACCTGCTTTTTACGCTCCACAGGCTTGGAAGATGTAATACGTGATAATGCGGATCGATCCAAAAAGTCAAGTGGCGTATCATCAACACCTTCACGAATAAAGGTTTGCGGTAATCCCTTCTTTTTGTTGTTGACCTTGGACAAGGCGGTCTTGACATTTTGTAATACTTCATCATCTGAGCCACCTTCCAATTCACTTTCACTGCCATAAAGAGCTTCTTCGTATGCATCGTGGAAACCAGCGCCCGTCTTTTTAGCCATCTCACGTGCTGCACCTTCTTCCATCATTTCCTCATCGCTGTCTTCTTGATTATCAAGGGCCTTTCTTCTCTTGGCACGTAGACGTCGCTTTTGAATGTTGGCAATAAGCTTCTTGTCTTCTTCAGGAACAAGCATATGGATCTTGTTGTAGCCAAATCGACGAATCAAACGCTCAAAGATATGTCGCAACTTAAGCTTGAAATGGTTGCGTGTTTGATGACTGCATTGGACCAGGCTGGAAACGACCGCCTCCAATTGTGGTTCGACCATCTCATCAGGCAAAACAACGATACAGACTTTGACATAGCCAAGTGCAGAGGCCACAATTTCTCGGTTATTGGATCCCACAAAGACATTGATCGTTTGCAAAAGTTCCATGACAAGTTCAGGTGAAAGATCATCTAAAAGCGAAAGGAATGAATAAATGCATATTGGGAGCATGAGAATGTGTGTATGAGAAGCTTACCCTTGAATTCGAAAAAGATACGTGAAAGGGCAACGATGGTTGCTGAAATCATGTGAGCGGTTGTACCAGCGAGACCAGCAGTAACCATGGTAAAGTATTCACCAATGTTGGCAACAGCTATATCAAGATAGGATCAGCATGGATATTCATCATCCCCCCTTCCATTGACTTTACTACTACTACTACTACTTACTGTCAGGAGCAGTCTCATCAAACCCTTGGAGCTTACTACTCTTGACGGTACCACCTTGTCTCATTTTGTTACCCATTTCGACCAAGAGGGTGAATGCAGCGTTACGTGTCTTTTCACTGCTGTCCTTGGAACTAATCACCACTTCAGACAAGATGGCTGGGATAAAATGAAGGTCCGAGGATGGAAGCAATTCAACAACACCACGCAAAGCATTGACGCGGTTCTTGCGAGCACCAATGGTACAGGTAGGGGTGGCTTCAAGGACTCGTTCTTGCAATTCGCCAATGTTTTGAATACCAATTTGACGACCACTGGGTGTTTGCATCAAGTGGTACAAGATCTTGTATCCCTTCTTTTGGAGAGCAGGCTCATCTTCCTTATTGATCAGGCTTGTCAAGGTGCCGTTGTACAAGAGTTGCATAGATTCAGGATCCAAAAAGGGAATCATGATCACTGAGAGGTCCAGCATGGTGTACGACATGGGTGGAGGCACACTTGGATCATTCGATGCTGCCGTGGAAGCAGATGGGTTCTCCAATGCTTGAGATAGCAAACCAAGTACTTTTTTAAATGTAGAATTGATATCCTAATACATACCAATAAGCATTCAACCCTTGATCGATATCCATTATCTTACCTCTGCAGTGGCAATGCTAAGGAAGCTCTTGATAACTTCATTTAGGAATCCACGATGTCCAGCACCAATTTGACTGTAAACGTTGAAGAATACGGCAAGGTAGTTGACAGCAAACTTGCTCATGTGTTGGATATTCTCGTTTGCTTGAGATTGAGTGATGCCATAAGCAGCTTGTAAATCCTTATCACTGGCGGAAGACTTGGCGAGCGTCTGGTTCTTTTCAATCAGATATTGCAAAGCTTGAGCCACATTAGGACGTTGTTCGGGTTGAGAATAAAGCAAGCTGCTGAATCGTTCGGCCACAGCCTCCGTAAAAGCACTGCACAAGTCGATAGGAAGATCACAGAAGCGAGGGGCAAGACTCCAAATCTGGTTTACCAAAGTTTCATACACCTTGGCTTGAAGATCCAATCCTTGATCAGCAGCAGCTTGTCCTTTGGTAGCAAGACGATCACCCAGGGGTATCAAGACATTGACAAAGTAACCGAGATTCGTATTGGTCACATAGGTCTTTAAGAGTGGCAATAAAAAGGCACGACCCACATGATTGGCATCCGTTCCTTCGAGGTTGAGTGGAAGAATGCCAAGGAAGTGTTCAGCACCCATATGCGTAATAGCAGCGCCCAATGTCTTATCCAAACTCTCCTTGTAAGAATCAGCAGAGGCAAGTCGCAATTCACCCAAGAGCGCAACACATCCATCCATCAACGGGGCTGATGCACGATGAAGCTTTCTGAATAAAGCTTGTTGTACAGTCATAACATGGGTCCATGCAGCCTGATAGTGTACACCCAGTCCACTCTCAACAAGGGAGATAATATCCGTCAGGCCGTTTTGTTGTCCTTGGGTTGCTTGTGTAATCATGTTGGGTGTCACACAATACTCGATGATCGCACTCAAGCAATCAGCCATTTGTCGGAAAACACGAGATTCTTGCTGGAAGTCGTTAAAGATAGTGGCAAATACAGCAGGGAAAGCAACAGCACATTGTTCAGGATTCATCCTAAAATACTCGATAAATCATCTATTCCATAGCCTTTCCTTTCAAATACTTACTTTGAGTATGCAGGGTATGCCTTGCTGATAATCAAAAGCCAAGCTGGCAAGAGTCGCTCGTCAATAGCAGAAGGTTTGATATCCCCAATAGCCTAAAAGTATTTATGACAATCAGTATCCCATATCCTCTCACTTGGACCCTTTTTTTGTGCACACCTCCACCTTACCTTTAATAAAGCAATGAACTTTTCCTCTTCAATATCGGTTTCTTGAACATCAAACAAGGCCTCGAATACTTCAAATGCGCTCTTGGTCAAAAAGACATTGTTGAATTTGGGAAGCTGAAGCAATGTTTGGCAAAGCACCGTGAATCGCTATATGTAAAACATGGTTAGCGATGGTAAGGTGTGTAATATATATAGGCGTTGACTTACGTTGGCAGGCCAGTAAGCGACAATGGATTGAAGCAAAGAAAGGATTTGTTGAGCAGCGTGTTGATCATTCTTGTTGGTCTCATGCAACACACGTAACACAAAATCAGCGGTTGCATTGGCAGCTGGATGTTGTGCAGTGGGTGGTGGAGGTGATGAAAGGATAACACGAATAGCATCATGGGCTGCTTTCCTTGCCTATACATCAAATGATTTGTTATTAATGCCTTATCAGCGATGGAATCACTCGTATCCATGACGTACCTTGACAGATGTATTCACGCTGAGTAAAAGCAACATTTGGTAAGCTTTTTTGGTAATAGGCATGCTCCATGCGTTGGCATCTTGTTTGACGAGGAGTTCTTGGAGACATCCCACAACCGATCGCAACACAGGTTGTTCATCCTTATGGTGTTCATAGACCACTTCAAGTACATGCATAATGTCATTGAACTTTGATCGCACCACAGCCTGAGGAAGACTATGCCATACCACTAGTTCAGCATTGCATTTCGTTTTACCTCACTTTCTTCCTATCCTACCTTCCAATCACATCATTCAACAAGTACACCAATGCTCCTGCAATGTCACTATCGGCGGATGTTGCTTGCAATGTTGTCATCTATCACATCCATTGACAGGTCAGCTCCATATAGATGGATCATTTGAAGAAGATGGATAGCTTACGATAGCACCGAAATAAGCGGATGGTGTCAATGCAGCATTTTGTTCACGGATCGTCTAAGGTTGCAAATAGGTAAACATCATGTTGTTGTATAATAGGCTTTTTGAGTGCTGTTCTCACCTCCTCGATAGCTAACAACGTCCGTGCATACTATTCAACTTTGCATGTCAATTATCGTGAAAGGGGACGTGGGCGTATAGAGCATACCAATTTAACGTTTTCCAGCTTGGAATTGGCCTGCGATCGAATCTTGTCGAATTTGGCCTCCATGGTAGATCAAGGTTGAAGGGCGGGAAGGAAACAAAGACAGAGGATGATTTTTTCTTGCTCGATCCAAATCGGTCATGCATGACTGTTTCTTTCATCTCCAGCAACAACCTTACACAAGACCCGTATCCTCATGCCAGCAGAGACCTCATCACCCGTGGATCAAGCTACATTGGACGCCGTAGCAGCCTTACAACAGTTATCGCAAGACCCTTCTAACAAAAACGACCAAGAAACAAAGCTCGTCTGCAAATGGGAGGATTGTGGCCGTGTTTTCCCTGATCATTCCAGTTTCAAAACTCACCTGTCTGAAGGTAAGTTTTCTATAGGCAAATGCTGCTGGTTGTTGTTGTTGTAGTGGGTTGTAGTGGGTTGCCGTGTATTGGTATTGATATCATTGAATTAGATCACGTGGGATGGAAACGGAATGAATATTGCTGCCAGTGGTCCCATTGTCCGCGACAAAATGTCAAATGCCATAATCGATTCACGCTCATGATGCATTTACGTATACACACTGGAGAAAAGCCATATGAATGTCCACATGAGGGATGCGATCAAAGGTAAGGCTACAGATGGATGGGTTTGGATACATACATATATTCATCATGCTATCCTTTATATGAAGCTTTGGAAGATTGGATGCTTTAACAAGACATCGACGAGCTGAACACAATGAAGAGATTGCGTATCCATCATCATCAACAGCACCATCGGCATCATCACCCTTAAAACGGAAACGTGACAAGGCATCGAATCCAGTAGCAGCAACAACAGCAGCACCTGCATCGACTGAACTTTCAGATGCTTCAGATATGGAACAATCAGACATGGATTATCAGCACGAATACAAGTTGGCCAAAGCCAAGTTACGTTACAGCTTAAGGGAACGGGAGCTTCTTCATGAAGAATTGGAAACAACGCATCGCTCCTTACAAAGACTGCAAACCGAGCGAAGGGTGTTATTGAGTGCGTTAATGACTGCAGAAGGAATCAAGAACTTTGTCGTTGATAGTGGAGAAGATAATGACGATGATGAGGATGATATTATCAGCGATATTCAATCAGCCAAAAAGTCACTTAGGATACAGCAGGATCAAGTAGAATCATTACGTCTGTAAATATATACAATTCCCCCTCTTTATTTGTTGACCAATGTATGTTGATCGTGTCATGTACATACAACAATCATGTTATGGATATGGAAAAAAAGTATAAAGGGATTATGGGTTGAGCCTATGCATACATTGACTACTTTGGGGCAGCACGAATAAGCTATGTAGGGCGTGGTTCTTGTATCAACCAGGGACACAGACACCTACCATTGGCGTCACCTTGAATACACCCTATGTCAATTTCAGTTTCCGATGGTTGGTAAAGACACACACAAATGCCACATGGTTTGTCTCAGTGATGCGCATAACAATTGTGGTTTTGGCGGTGTGAGCCATCAATGTGGCTACTGATCTGAAACGTGTTGGGAAGGATGGCTACAAAAGATAACGTAGATCAAGGAGGCTACATAATGTTAGTAAATTGATCCTTCATCCAAGTGCTGGTCGTCGTCAGATATTATTATGGGATGATGATAGTAATGGTAAAAGAAGATGCTTCCTAATGTAGTATATCGTACAATGATGACCATTCATAATTGGCTTTGCATTGATCTCCTATGTAGCAATTGCATTGATAGCTAGACATTAGTAAGATCCATAATGATGATATGCAAATGGCAAAACGGATCTTGTGTTACGGTTCATTAGGGATGGATGATCTTCCTTTTGCCACAAGTAATGAGAATAAATTTAGTTCAAAAACGTAAAATGTATTGTACAAGATGGGGAAGCGTCGCATGGAAAATGCCAAGACTTTTTTTGCCAAGCTACGACATGATGTGTGTGAGTGAGTGTGAATTTACAAGAGAGGAGTAGCCATGCTATAATAATCTATACAAGAGAGGAATGTAATAGTAGGTGTGTATATATGTACGTCGTCGAGGGAGAAGGAGATCAGTTTGCTGAGGACGATGCTGCTCCTGCTTGTATGCGCACGTCTTTGTTGTAGTCTTGATAAGAGGGTGGTGGTTGATCTTCGGCTTTATACACTGGCGGCGGAGGTTGCACGGAGCCCATTTCGACATTGCCGGTAGCAACAGCAGTTGGCTGACCATATTGTCTTTGAGCACTAAGATACTCATGGTATGATGGCATGTAGATCTGTACATCAGGTGCTGCATTCGTCCCATGTATCTCTTGTCGATACGCTTGTGTTTGTTGACGAGCTTGAGCAACTTTTTAAAACAGAGTCAACAACAATTGGCTTTAATAATGCACTCGTAGTATAGCAACTTACTTTGTCTCGATGCCATCCTTCGTCTTCTTACAGCAAGAAATAGAGCCAGTAAAAGTAAAAGAACGCATACAATCCATAATACGTTGAAAGCGACAGCCGACATGAGCAATGACAAGTAGAATGAAGAAGAAAAATGGAAAAAAGGACACAAGATTTGCCGAAAAGAAACGGCTTTAAATTCCGTGACGTCTGGGTTCGGTTGCACAATCGTTTCGTCGACATGCCAAATACGCCTGCACATGACCCAAACGATAAAGATAGGATTCGATATCTATTTCGAGCTGTGCCAGTACTACTATCACTACCACTACTGCCACCATTTCATTTCCTTTGACTTTTGATACTATCTTTGAATGGGGCTCGATATTTGTCATTGGCTCTAGATGACACTGAAGAACCAAAAAGAAGCATCAGTGTCTCGTGTCACGCGACATTGGTAAAAAGGGAGTTTACGTCATGGATGGTTTTATGAGATTGTTGGGTTATTCCACAAATTCTCTCATTTCACAGCCAATCATGAATCTCCTGATTTCAAATCATGCAATTCGATTGATTCCACTTGATTCACCCGCATGTTAGAATGGTTCTTCCTGCCCCCATTATGCACTTGAAACCTTCACCCATCCTCCACCCGTACATTAACACACATGTCACATTTTCCACTCCAAAAGATAACAATCCAAAGCCCATAATACTGCGTATATTATAATTCTTCAACCATCTCCTCATCCTCCTCCTTCTTTTGCTGCTGTTGTACATTCTTGTCATCGATATCTTTCCCATCTGTCCTATGTAATACTACTTGTTTGCTCTTTGCGACGAGTACTGGTAGGTCATTGCTCCATTGATCAAGTTTGCTGGCATATTTGTCGATAGCATTCTGCTTCAATTCAATATCTCGTTTCAAGAGTGATATCGACTACATATCATATGGATGTTAACGACACTTGAAATACCATCCACAGTGACATGAACCACTTACTTCATTTACTGCAAGCTTTCTATCCCCTAATGAACGTAGCCGAACATCTTTGAGTTGTCTTTCCAATGCCATGGCGGTCGTCTTTAGCTCGTCGGTATATGTTTCGAGGGCTGTGTTTTCACGTCAATGGTCAAGCACAAGGAATGGGTACAAACAAGGTCCTTACATTTGGGCTCTTCATCTTGTTTCGGCTGCTGTGGCTCTATCAGGATACGTTCGAGACAACCATGAACTTGGGAGGATAACTGATTGACCAACTCGTTCAAGTCAATGTCGTGGTCGGGTTTCATTGCGTTGACAGGTTTGAAAATAGAGGCGGACAAGCAAAAGTTTACTCTGGGAAGGACTTGATGAAAAGGACACGCTCTACACCATCCTTTTTCTCCACTCATTGTCCCTTAATATGGATAGCAGCAGCGATCACATCCATGACGACTAAACACCATAAGCTGTATCATTTGTATTGGAGCTCTGATTTGGTATCAACCAGGATTATCTGTTGGATCGATCATGTTCAAGGATGACTATGAATCAAAGGCGTTCTCAGATACTGTGTATATATAATTTCCTTTTATTGATGTAGAAATCGCTTTCATTTATCTCGTCTTATCCATCATTCTTAAATAAGAATCATATCCTTCGTGTTGTGATCAGCTATAGAATAAAGAATGAAAGAGAGAAGAATACTTTTATAAGAGAAGCTACTTCGTATCAAGTTATGAGACTAGTTGATGCTAATGTTTAGCCCATAATGATGATGGTTTCCAGACGTCACCATGAGGAGGGTCATTACACTCACTACAAGTCGGGGTGTGATTTTGACAGTGAAGGGTGGAGCACAGGCCATGTTGCATTTCCTATCAGGTACATGATGAATCATTACTCGAAGTTTTTATAGACAACCATAATACCTTTATGAGAACAAAAATAATCACTGCATTAGAAAGTACCTGCTGGGAACTTTTTAGGTCTCGGACCTCGATTCTAGAGTTTTTCCTTTATAGAGTGTGGTAGCTATGCAGCTTTGACGCGCTCATTTGCACCCCAACAGCCCTCCTTTAATAAATAAAGTACACTTTCGAGACGTACGTACCATTCTACACGTAAAAAGACACAATGCCACGCCATGTATCAAGGGAAATAAAGAAGAGTGGTAACCTGCACTATGGTTGCTATGATTCTTTGACGCGCCCGTTTGCTTCCAAATCACACTGTTTATTTAAATAAACTATTGTATCGAGATCTACGGACGATTCTACCCGTAAATCGACTTGGTAACGCGCCATTTGCAAAGTGAGATCGAGTGGGCGTGAAATGTGGGCGGGGTGTTTTAAGTTGACTTTGTCGCCATGGCAATAGGTTTCCTCCTCTTTCTGCAATGCCTCCTCAAGTTCATCAAGAACCGGCTCGCTTCTTTCCTCTTGTGCTCGTGCTCGCCGCATTGAAATGGAACGTTTTCGAACAAGTACATTTCATGTGGGTGATGCCAATTGCCTTCTTTCTCGGTGTCGTTATTCCTTTGGTTCGGTGGGGGCTTTCGCGTCCCAACAATCGGTTGACTTCAGTCCCGATTGCTAGCAATGCTGACTGCTCGGCCGGCGTGCCGTTGCGGGCGGCTCGAGAGGTAAGTGAGGAATCGACACAGGTGCCTACTAGCCCTGTTGTCTTGGCTAATCGTCAACCCTGGGTAGCTCCAGTGGTTCCATGCAAGGCGCAAGCCTGCGAGTATCCTGGTATGTTGTTTTCTACACGACCAGTAGCACAAGTGACCCGTCATCATGGCAACATGTCGGCCTTGGAGGGTGATGCTGTTATCAACACATCATCAGCTGTGGATCTTTTCAAACCATCCAAGCAAGTTTCAAGCACACGGTCACCACCAAAGTTGCTACAGGGAATGGCTATGCATAAAGCCATGCAGCACGTGTACGGCTTACCGGCACAGAAGTCTACTACTACTACGACAAGAACATCATTGGCATCATCATCATCACCACCTGCATCTGAATCATTGGCATCATCATCATCAGCATTGGCATCATCATCATCATCTGCATCTGCATTGACATCATCATCATCTGCATCATCATCATCTTTAGACGAGCTTTGTAAGTATACTTTATGGAAGGATCGTGATTTCAACAATACATGGACGCTAACTGATTTACTTTTTATAGGTGAAGCTCTTAGCAAGCTCGACATCTATGAGCCAGACACGGATGTACCAGATGCCCCTCCTGGTACTCCTGAACATTTACGAGAGATCGTAGAGAATGGTAAGTGGATTACATCTTGGACTTGATACCAAATGGCATGATTTCTTATTATTCTCTTTTTTTTATAGAGGACGCAGGTGCCTCAGAGCAAGCACAAGTCGTTGAAGACATGCAAGATACCATCATGGCATCACCATCTCCATCGCCACCATCATTGCCATTGCCACAACAACAACAAGAACCACCGATTCTATATACCCAAGTGATGCCACAGCCAACCATCACCATCCATCCGGAGGCCACACCGGAAGTAGTAGTAGCAGCAGTAGTCGCAGCAGCAGCAGCATCAGCACCAGCGACATCAGCAATACCTGTTGCATCCAGCACAGGTAGCAGCAATAACCGATCACGGTTAGAGATCCGAAGGTCCGTTATACGGCCTCGAAGTCGCCATCGATGGCAACGACAAAGTGGGAAGCCACCACCACCACTTCGCCTTCGATGGCAGAGAACAAGTGGGATCCCACCACCCCCACTTTCAAGACCGCCACCATCACCACCAAGGCCACCACCCTTAATATCACCATCACCGCCACCTCCATCACCACCAAGGCCACCTCCATCACCACCAAGGCCACCTCCATTAATACCGCCACCACAACCACCAACACCACCCGCCACCACATCCTCAGCCATGGCAGGCGAGGAAAGACCAAGGCCAATAGCATGTCCCACAAGACGCTTACAACGGCCATCATCATCATCATCATTACCAGCATCATCATCATCTTATGTACCACCACCATTACCATTACCAATACCATCATCATCATCACCATCACCATCATCATGCACATTGCCTTTTTCGGAAGCAGAGTTTGCACCACCATCATCATGTAAGTACGCTTACTCATTGGGATGAATGACTTTGTATGATACTAACTTTTATTAATGCTTTAGTATTGGACGACGACGATACCCTTGCAGAGATCTGGGGCACCGATTTTCTCGGTACCTCAGATGAAGTAGTCTTCGATGAAGACGCATAGTAAGTTACATACAATAGGTGTCATGGCTTTTATCACTCACTCACATGCATATTGTATATAGGTGTCCAAAGAGTTTCTCAGCAAGAATTGCGAGATAGATTGGTGGATGGAAAACCCCAGCCCGGATTCAGGCGTGCGTCTCAGCTATGCCAGTTGCTTGCACATACGGAAGGATCGGCATGAAGGTATCCCGACGGGAGTTTCTTACACGTCAACGTCTATCACTTTAGGGGCGTTGCCATGGCGACCACGTACGGTTCCAGGAATCCCTTGTTCCCTTGCTACGATTAAGTCACAAAGCATTTGCGGTGTCTTTCTTCTCCTCGTGGATCAAGAGCCAAAGGGCGATTCACTCATCATCATCATGTTACCCATTGGGGTATGGGATTGGACTTGAAAAGGCAAGTTAAAATCAGTGACATTGCTTCTTGGATATCATTTATGCTAATCATCTATTGTCTTTTATTGTGGGGGTGGGTCATGGTGTATGCCGTGATACATCCCTACATAGTTTGACCGCCCTTTCATTTTTTGGATGATGGTGTTTGGGCACAAGCGGTAATCATCTTTGAAGTGGGTACTTGGAAAAAAACAGAAAACATCAAGACATCGACTTGCACGGGCATCGTAGTTTGGGACTGGGGACCTGGAATGGTACGTGGTCGTCATGGTTAACGTTCTTGAAGTGGTAGGCGTTGCGTGTAGGATTCTCTCGAAGGGTGTAAATCCTGCATGTTTGATTCCTTCATTTTATAGATGCACTGGTGTACTGGGATGTCACGTTCTGTTTCTGGTGCTGTGGGTTCTTCCTGAAACCAGAGTGAGGGCTCTTGCTCTCTTTGGGGAGTAGAGTTCTCTTTTCTTTTTATCGGTGGTGCAGCCGATGTGGATGACAAGGACTATCAATGTGGGACAAGCTTCTCTATTACCATGAGACCTCTCTTCATTGTATTGGTGGCGGATGACAAGACTATCAATTTGGCCCAAGTCCTCTCCATTTTAATGGGGGTGGAACGATGCGGATGACAAGATTATCAATTTGGATCAAGTCCTCTATTCATTTTATTGGTGGTGAAGCCGATGCGGATGACAAGATTATCAATTTGGAACAAGTCCTTCATTTTATTGGTGGTGAAACCGATGCGGATGACAAGATTATCATTTGGCACAAGTCCTTTCTTCGCTATATTGGTGGTGAAGCCGATGCGGATGACAAACCTCTCTATTGCCATGAGACCTCTCTTCATTACATTGGTGGCGGATGACAAGCCTCTCTATTGCCATGAGACCTCCCTTCATTATATCGGTGGTGGAGCCGATGCGGGTGACAAGATTATCAATTTGGCCCAAGTCCTCTTCATTTTATTGGTGGTGGAGCCGATGCGGATGACAAGATTATCATTTGGCACAAGTTCTTCGTTATATTGGTGGTGAAGCCGATGCGGATGACAAGACTATCAACTTGGCACGGGTCCTCCTTTTGAACCTATTCATGAATCAATCCACTCTTGGGTGCAATTCGCATGAGCACAATTTGGCGGCAATTGGTCTTACCAAGGAATATCATACAAAGCAATCACACGAATGCAATGAGAGGCACGACTTTGGAAGAGGCATTGTCATTGGAGGAGCTCTATGCTGGAAACAATCATCACAAGCATCGAGCAATTATCACAGCTATCAAGCTACACCTGACATCGGTCACCACCACCATGCCAAGAACGCAATCCTATCATACAACAAAATCAAAAGCAAATGGTATGTGAGTGATCAAGTAGTATCTTCTATACTTGAAACTAACCAGCCTTTGTCCCATAGCAGTATCACAAAAAAGCACGTCAGCAAAAAAAGGCAGCAGCCATATCATACGAACAACAACGGTCCTCGATCTTCCTGCGACAAAGCAAGTTCAATCATACAGAGAAAGGCTCTCTCAATGGAGCAGACCACAATATCATTGTCATGTAATTATTGTATCGTTGCAAGCATCGTTGAAAGAAGGTTTACTTATGATGGTTATCTATA